TCGCTTCAGGAATTCTGTTTACATCGATTCAACCGCAACTTAAAGTAAACACAACGCACACAAAACGTTGAACTATAATTTATTGTCCGTCCGTTACTTTACAGTCGACCCTTCTAAATATTTATTCGAAATTAAGAAGAGCGAGAAACGAGAAATTCGTATTGAAAAAAAAAATCGATCTTCATCTAAATCATTTTATTTTTTCCCTTTTTGATCATTAAATGAAAAAAACAATCAATAAAAGGGGAATACCCGGAATTGTCTATACGATGTTGTATATTTTTATAGAATGAATTAACACTAGATCTAGAAAGTTTCGAGTTTAGCCGTGCTATTTCTAGAAGACTATTCTTAGCAGGAAACTTAAATCTGTTTGGAGATAACTACATTTTGCTCTCAAAAGATTAGGAACTGCTATAGATTAATTGCAGAAACTGGATATCGCTGACAGAAAACTCAATTCTGCTAACAGTTAACCAAATGTTGCTAATGGAATACTAAATAGTGTTTGCAGAAGACTGCTCCACAAGATAAAATATTGCTGGTTTAGCCGTCTTAAGAGACGCACGGCAAAACCCGAATAATTCTAGTTCTTAGTCCAGTGTTAGTTCTAGTGACAGTGCTAGTTAGTACTAGATATCAGTATGTTGTATATTTTTTTAAACTAAAACTATGCACCAATTCAAAGGATGTAGCAGTTCTCTTATATGTATTCTATCGTCCTTATATTCTATTCGAATTTATTATATCTCAATATTATTTAATTTTGAGAAAAAAAAATTATTGATTTGATTTACCGCGAAACCAATTTTACGAATTGTAACTGGTATTTCCTAAAAAATACTAAATTACTGCAATTATTGAGTTGAAAGGTTGTAATAAAACCTGACTCATAAGTAATGATTGAAATTAGAAAAATAGAAAAAAATCGTCACAGGCGATGAATCATTTATATTTTTTTTATTTTAAACATAGAAGAATAAACCCATAATACCAAGACCTTTGAGCATAAAAAATTACACTTCTCAGACCAATTTAAAACCGTCTGTCTTTTCCTTTTCAAGTTCACATCACGTAGAAAAGTTTCATTCGTTCTGTAGATGTAGACGCACGTCCAAAGGTTTTTAGTGAATACTTTCTTTAAGCATAAAACATTAAATACATTGTTTTTTAATAATTACCAAACCAACAAAACGTTTATTTATGCAAATAGATTCTATTTAATTTTAGATTTTTTATTTTATTTTTCAATTTTTATTTTTATTTCGTTTTTAAAAAAATCTTTCCACTTCTATTTATAAATGAAGTGAGTAAAACTTGAAAGATGATGAAATAACTTATAAGAATATTTATTTTATTAATAACTAACATTAATTTAATACGTAAACCAAGTCAAAATTGCGAACGCGCTTTAGGCTCTAATTTTAGAACTGAGTGAATATAATCAATCAAAAATAAACCGACTTCAAAAATCGAACGAACACAGTGTAGTTTGCGGTAGTACCAAGGTCAAGAACATTCGATAGGAAAAAAAATAATCTTAGAGAGGTTTTGCGCAAATCGACTATTTTTAGGTAACCGACGTTCGTGGTCGTAAAATTTTGATGTTAAACCCTCCTGAGTCTCTTTACCATAAAACTTATCAATTTTAAATGATGAATATCAAATCAGTTTTTATTTCATTCCGTGAACGTTCAATGACGCAAATGTTATAAGGTTTCCATTTCTAATAAATTTAAAAATGAAAAAATTATTAAAAGAAAGAAAATTATATTTTCCTGTAAACATTTTTTTTTATTACACAATCCACTCCAAGGATAAAAATCAAGAATAATCTAACCTTCAACCGTATTATTATTAGACCAAGATTTTAAAAATAATCCATAAATTTCTTTTTTTGCACTTTATTACTTTAACGAACAATAATTATGATGTAATAGGTTCCTATAATAAGTTTTGGGTTACAATTTGAAATTAATTTTTAACATTTTCAATAAATTAACAATGTCATTTTGATATCTAATTGTATTGGAATAAAAAATTATCTAATAATTTCTATTTAGCCTAAACATTTTTGGACATACTGAAGTTGTTGATACTTTGTAGTTCTAAGAAAATTTTAATATTATCCACTGACTTGACGTACTTGTCGTATTCGTCGTCTTCGATGACTTTCCAGACTTTGACGTGAATAATTCTGTTTCCAAGAGTATTTAAATTTCTAAGTGGTCAATTCAACGGGGAAACATGTGAAGGAAAATAGAAAGAAACTCCTTCTTGTCATTTTAATAATTGTGGTACTCACGTTCTCGCTATTCATGGAAAATAGTCTTAGTCAGGAAACTTTATGGACTAATTAAAGTTTAGAGTACAAGATCGTGCATCAAGATCACCTTGAAGTCTATCCCAGTAATGCAACGTATGTATACTTTAGGTCATGTCCAAAATGAGGACAAGAAAGAAAAGAATTCAACAAGACAGAGGAAATAGAAAGAAGGGAAGTGTCAACACAGTGGAAGGAGTTAGAGGGTAGAGGTAGAGATATGAAAAAACAATAACGGCATGCTCAGGTAGAAGAGGTGAAATACAATAATAAGTATAAGGTCGTAATAACGGAGGAAATTCCGAGCTATTTGATGGAGGAGGCTAGAGGGAAGGAAAAAGTAAGATTTAGGCGCGGCAACGAAGAGAAGGCGAATAAATGTTGGATGGTCATTCTTATTAGATTTCTTATAGACTTTGCTTGCTTTCGCATTTTTCTTCTTAGGGGAGGAAGCCTCATCGGATCTGCTTTCCCCGATACCAGTTTGAAAAACACGATGCTCCCTTACCCCTTGTTTGAACAATAGCTCCTGAAGCGATTTAAGCCTTCAAGAATTTCTTAATAAACAGTGTTAACTTCTCGGCATCAAATTTGTAATTAAAATACTACGTTTTAATAGCTTGGGGCGACGATCTGTTACCTTCTTGAAATGTCTTAATCCCCTTAAATTAACCATGTGGATGAATAGATCGCTTTTGATCGCTGGTTTATCTTTTCCTTCGTCGTTTAATCTTTGTGGGTGAAGTATCCATTACTAGATAACGTAGTTTTTTGTGATAACTCGTACTAATGTGCCATAGATGAATAGTATCTGCATTCACAAGCATGAAACTTATTTTGTAAGCATGTGTCAAAAATTAGTGAAATATAGCCAATGAAATAGAAGTAATAATTGAATGGATGCACAATAGAGATATCAACTGTCTGGAAGAGTACTTTCTTAAGATTCTTTATGCACCATGTGTAGATTCACTTCAAGACGTTTTGAAAGAGTCTGAATAGCTCCTGAAGCGATTTAAGCCTTCAAGAATTTCTTAATAAACAGTGTTAACTTCTCGGTATCAACTTTGTAATTAAAATACGACGTAGGCGACGATACGTAACGGTTCTTGAAGTGTCTTAATCGCCTTAAATTGACCATGTGGATGAATTGGTCGCTTTTGATCGCTAGTTTATCTTTTTCTTCGTCGTTTAATCTTTATGGGTGAAGTATCCATTACTAGATAACGTAGTTTTTTGTGATAACTCGTACTAATGTGTCATAGATGAATAGTACCTTCATTCACAAGCATTAAACTTATTTTGCAAGCATGAAATATAGCCAATGAAATAGAGGTGATAATTGAATTGATGCACAATACAGAAATCAACTATCTGGAAGATTACTTTCATAAGATTCTTTATGCACCATGTCTAGATTCACTTCAAGACGTTTTGAAAGGGTCTGAATCTAGAACGTGCAAGCTAAACCAAAGACTCTATGGCAGCAAATGACATGTGGTACTCAGCTTTCCTTCGCGAACACCTTCTTAGGCATTTATAAACACTCAAATGTGTTACATTATCAAATAATTTTTACCAGGTTTTATTTTGTAATCTTTATTGACTGTCGAGTTTTAATTACCAATAAAACAACGTTTGCTATTTACACGTGTACTCTTCGTTTGAACACAACAATTCACCTACCTCTGGTATTGTTATCAGATAGATGTCCCGTTGATGCAAAAATGTTTTATCTATACAACATGAATTGACGGATGACGATGAACACTCGAGATATCCCCATCCATTTTTAGTATACCTACTGGGACATAATCGACAATAAAAATAAAACCGTAATCCACATCAAAATAGATTTCCTTTTTCAATATTTACGTGTTCAGTTTGACGCAGGGCAAATAAGTCCCTGCGTGATTTTGTTATCTGGTTATCTGCTTTGTACTCAACAACAGGTGTGTAGGTGGTTACAACGGGTGAATGAATAATATTTTGAATGAACAGTTTTTAAAAATGTTTATAAAGTTGTAAAAAGTTTGTGAAGATTTTTTTTAGATCGAAATTTTTTTGGGGTAATTTGTTTATAAATAGATGAGGTGGATTTTGGATAATATTGGAAAACGCTCGAAATATAACCGAAAAATGACGCACAAAGTAGAACGAACGTCAATATACTTTTAAATTTGGATCCGTTGAACGGATCAAAGAGCAAATAAACAAGAATTAATAGAAGAAAAGCTGAATTGTTTTCTTTCCTTTTTTTTCTTTATTTAATTTTTGGTTGTATCAAATAACCTTTTGGTACAATTATATTATATTCTAATCTACATTTTCCCATTCTCAATAATTATTTCTGTTAATTTCATTACAGAACAGCCAGTAACTTTAAAACAATTTCCCAAGCTTTAATTAGTGCTGAAAATGTACTCATATTACATTTGCTTCATGGTTTAATTGGTTATCTAACCAGCAAGGGATTAGTTACATTTATCGTTATTGCGTTTTTACCAAAACTTTGATATTGTTCCATTTGTTCTTATTTATTTATAACTTAGTTGCATATATCCTAAAGTTTCTGCCATATAAAAATTTGAAAAAGTAGAGTTCTTTAAATATTTTTCAAAATTTTGTAAGGTACTCCAGATTTATTTCTTTTTTTGGTATAATAACAATCACAGCATTAAAACTAGATATAAGATTTATTTCCAAATAATAACAACAAAAAATACAAAAGTTTCAAATCGAAATTAAAAAAATGCCAATTAAACAAAAATTTACCAATAACAAGAAGCATAACATTAATCAACTTTAATATCCATTTTTCCTTAATTAAAAATAAAAATTAAAAGCTTTTTTACTCCTCTGCTTCTTCAACCGGTTCTTCAACAACAGGTTCCTCTACAACTGGTTCCTCTTCAACGGGTGCTTCTTCTTCTTTAACCGCTTCAACTTCTTCAGCTGGAACTTCAACGGGTGTTTCTTCAACAGGAGCTTCCTCTTCAGCGGGAGCTGCTTCAACAGGACTTTCATCAACGGGTGCTTCTTCGGTGTTTGCAGCAATTTCAGCTTGTTCAGCTTCAATCTTAGCTAATTCAGCTTCTTGTTTGGCCAACTCGGCTAATTCAGCTTCTTGTTTAGCTAATTCGGCAAGTTCTTTTTCTTGACGTTCGAGTTCGGCTAACTCCGCTTCTTGTCTAGCTAACTCGGCTTCTTCTTCTTCTTTTCGTTTCAGTTCGGCTTCTTCTTCAGCTTTTTTGGCTTGTTCAGCTAACTCGGCTTCCTGTCTCGCTAATTCAGCAAGCTCTTCGGCTTGTCGTGCGAGTTCAGCCTCTCTTTCTTCTTCGGCTTGGCGTGCAATCTCTTCCAAACGAAGAAGCTGTTGACGTTCTTCTTCAGCTTTGGCGAGCTCCGCCTGGCGACGTTCTTCTTCCAATCTAGCTTCTTCTTCAGCTGCTTTACGAGCTTTTTCGATTTCAGCCTAAGAGAATATTAAAAGAAATTTTTAGTTATTTTGTTTTTTTTTTGGTTTTGATTTAGTGTGGTAACCTGTTTTGCTAATTCTTCCTGTCGAGCTTTTTCAGCTTGTCGTTCTAATTCAGCTGCTTTTTCGGCGGCAGCTTTAGCTGCCAATTCTTCTTGTCTTGCGATTTCTGCCAATCTTGCTGCTTCTTCTTTCTTCGCTTGGGCTTCTTTTTCTTTCCTAGCTGCCTCTTCAGCTTTAGCTCTATATAGAAATAATTTTTAATTTCAAAATAAAAAATTTATGAATATAACGCATACTTTTCTTCTTCCTCCTTTTTCTTTTGAGCAGCTTTTTTCGCACTGTCATCAACTTTAGGTGGTTCTTCATAGCTCCTAACTGGCCTTGGAACCCTCACAGGTGTTTCGATGGTTTCCCTTTTTGGTTTTTCAGCAGTCGCTGATTGAGCGGAAGTAAAGTGACGAGAAGGACGGTTAGGTGGTAATTTTGCTAAAAGAAATTGTTGTGTTAATTTACAATCAGATTGAAATGGAACCTAAATCAACCAACCAATCGAATTGTTTTGTTTGAAAATATTATTATTACGTGTGATTAATATTAAATGTGAAGCTCTTCTTTGTGTTAAATGATTGAATGATTTTGTTAGTGTTTTGTTTTGTGAATGTTTAAGTTGATGAATTAGTTTTAGCGATTTAATAATAAATAAAAATCATGCAAACAATTATAAAAGTACAAAATTAAATTTGTCTCCATCGTTTTAAACTGTCTCATTATTTAGTAATTATTTTAAAGCGAAATTTATGCCGTTTTAAATGATCGATTTCCACTTACATCTTTTTAACGGTCGACGTTGATGACAGTAGACGCGTTGACCACAACTGGATTTATTTATTTAAATCTTTATTTATTTTAAATATTATTTAAGTATGTGTAACATTAACCAATTATTTAATTATTATTAGTGTTTATATCGTTTTGTTTCGGTTTACGCTGTTAGGAGCACACCATTTCAAAGAAAAAAGGAAAAATACAAGAAAAAAATACAAAAATAACGTTCATACAAAAAACACTCCACAAAATATGTGAATTTGTATAAACACAAAAATTTTAAAGGCATGCCTTTTCTAAATAGGAATGTTTAATTAACTTATTACAAAATTTTTTGTAATAGGATTAAAAAACAAGGATACTAAGCGTTATAACTATTGTCAATGAATAGTTTATTTTCTGTTTTGGAAGCTGTTTTAATGTTTATGGGATTATAATAAATTAATTTAAATATTTTTTGAGGTTACAGGGTGATACAAAAGTAATGTGTCCTTACTTAATTAAGGAATGTTTTTGAATACATAAAAGATTTTTTGCTAAAAGATTAAAAAAGTTTAAACTATGCGCCGAGTCGTCTCTTCACTTTAAATGTTTTTATTTCAATTTTTATTTTCCTACAAGAAGAAGGATACAAAGATACAGAATATTTCGCTGATGCCGACTTGTTAATAAAACTGCCACATTGATGAGACATTTTTGAAAAATTGAATTCTCTAAATCCCTCTCTGCAGGGAAAAACATGAAAACATCTTTTGAAGCCGACGAGGAAAATGTGAGCTTTTATTAAAAACTGTACAGTACGTTCTGTACTGGCAGGTATTTTTATTTTATATTCCGTGAGACGTGTTTCGATTACCTATAAAATCCTTTTCAAGTTCAACTAAAAATAGTAGTTGTCGATAAAAACTTATTTCACAATTAGTGAAAAGTTAATTATCGCCACTTGAAAGACAGTATCGTAACGAAAGCATTGAAATGATATATAAACTGCTGAAATAATATTTTATATATTTAAAAGATAAAACCAATTTGGTCCATTATTCTTGTATTTACTATCTAAGCTATGATTTTATTAATCATATTGAGAAGTGTGATGCCCCTCCAATTACTCTCTTCTTTGGGAGTTTTATAATTATTCCCTCTTTCCAGTCTGCCGATATTTTTTCCTCTTCCCATACTCTTTTGATTAATGGTTTAATTACTTTAGTAATGTGCTGCAGGTCTATTTTTAGAACTTCAGTTGGTATCTTATTTGAACTTATTACTCACCCTGTACATTGCTTAGATATTGCTGACATGACTTCCTGTTTTGTTGGAGGTTTTATCTTTATTCTCAGCATAGGTTGCTCTTTCTGTTTCTTCATATGTATTCAGCATCTTGGAAAAATGTTAATAATAAAAAATCCAACACAATCAGAAACCAACCCAACCCAACCAGAAATCAACCTAACCCAAATGTTTCTACTTCTAGATCTAGGGTTAGTTCTAGTGACAGTGCTAGGTAGCGCTAGTTAGCATTACATATCACTATGTTGCATAATGTTGTTGACTAGTGTTACACTACTATCCGTGCCAAAAGGGAAGGCTCACTTTAGAGATCGATATTTTCGCAACCGCTCTATAAAAAAAATTACGGTACAGTTTTTTGTAATTACTGAACATTTCTACGTAACATATGTTAATTTGAAAAATTTCGGATCCGCGGTTTTCTTTTTATCGCGAGTTAAATAAAAAAAGTACCCGATTTAATACGATGCCGGTAACTTAGTCCATTTTACGATTTTTTTTCTCAAAAACTATCTGACAAAAAAATTTCTTATTTGAATAGGTGGTAGCCTGATGTGTTCTTAATGAGGGCCATATTTTATTTTTTTGATATTCCATATAGCTTCGCGGAAAATCGCTGTTTATTAAGACGTCGTTATGTCGAAAACGGTTTTTTGGATTTCATCAAGGATTTGACCAAAATATGTCAAATAATTGCGTTTATCGGATACCATTATCAGTTTTTCAAAGTTATATCTCTCTAATCTTGTTAGAGCGATTTAAGCGAATTATAAATTAAAACGAAACAGAAATAAGCTCTTCGGGGAGAGGGGGGTTCCGTCCAATCGGAAAAGATGGTCCGTTCTAGACAGTACGTCGCGCCTTTATCTTACCTACATAAAGAAATAAAGGCGCGACGTTCTGTCTCTGGAACCGTGAATCCGAAAATTTTCAAATGATGTAGTGTATATCGATTTCTAAAGCGAGAGGCTTTGACCTTTGACATCGATAGTAGTGTTAGTACTAGCTTTAATTGTAATTCAGCGCTGACGTCACAAACGGGCCTTTGAGCTGTGCACCTGTTTCCGGGATGTAGCAGTCCTCTTAGATTCTATCGTCCTTGGAATAAATATGGAACCACCAATATAAATCCGTTATATCGAAGTTTTACTGCACTCCATTCGGAATTTTTTATAATTACAATTTCTAACTACATAATTAGAAAAAAAAAACATAACTCACAATTAATTTAACAAGAAACCTCATCGTATATTAATAAACATTCTTTAAGTTTTAAACAAAAAAATGTTTACAAAGAAATAAATTAAGGATTTAAGTTAACTCATTACTTTTAAATAACCCTGTATTCTATAAAATGTATGAACAAATAAAAAAAATAGACAAAAAGAGTAAATTATTATTATTAGTGAAATTTCTTAGTTACAATAATATTTTTTTCTGATATTGATAGTTTTACAGATATTTTTTAATAAAATTTATTTTGTGCACTAAAAATGAAATTATATGAAAATATAAAAACAATTTGTTTTATGAAAATAAACTTTATTATTAATATTAAACATCGACGTTGAAGTTTTTAAAAGAAACTTTAGCTTCGTACACTTTACTCGAAACCAAAACTTTTAAGTTACATAATTTCGTAAAGCATTAGTAACTTAACTTCATTTTATATATAATTTTTGTTGTTTTTTTTTTCTAACGTTAATCACAATTTAATCTTAAATTTAAAAGTATTCTACAGCTTAATAATGATGTTTCCCAATTTTTTTAATGCACAAACCCGTTTTGCATGTAGAATTACTTTTGAAAGAAGATCTAAAAGATTTAAAGCTTTAAGATTAATTTGAATAGAAATCAATCCAAGCTTTTTTGTTTTAATGAAAAGGTTATTTCAAAACAATCCTACGGTAGAAAGCAGCAAAAAGCCTTTTATTGTTAGTAGCAAAAGTAAGAAATGTAACAAAAAAGTTTGTTACGAATAAAATGTACGAAAACAAACAAAAAAAAATTTTCTTTTAATTTGAATAATTTGTAATCTTCCTGTGTCCTAATTCGTAAAAGAAAAAAAATGTTGTGTAATGTAATAACAAGTTGCGTGAACGATTAAATAAATAAGCTTAAAAATTTATTAATACATAATCGTGATTGATTATTTGATGATTTTTCGTGTTGTGCTTTTGCTTTAATTTTTTTGTCGTTTTTTAAAATATTTTATTGTTTTTTTGTTGGAGGTGTTTGTATGCTTTTTTTGTTAAATTTATTTAAAACTTTATTCTGCCTTAGGCTGTTCTTGTGTCGTCGCCTCGACAACTTTCTCATTCTCTGTAAGGAAAAAACCATCAACTTCAGAACGAAAATCGGTTTAGAATTGAAGAAACAAATCGGTTTTCCACGTTAATATCGTATAAAAATAGATTAAAAAGTAGTGAGAAGAGAGATTATTAAAAAAAGATGATGAAATAAAATTAGCACTGGAGCGAGACGACAGGATTAAAGGTGAAACGGACAAAAGCGGCGAGAAAAGCTCACCCACTAAAGCTTGATGAGCTTTCATTTTAGTTCTTTTTCAATTCGTTTGTTCTGTGCTTAATGGAATAATAAAGTAAATGATTTTCTTCTCACTACAAAATCAATTTATTGTTAATTTTAATGATGTTTTAATAACTTCTTTTAGATTACCTCTTTATAAAATAAACACAAACAAATTAAAAGCACAAACGAGAAAAATTATTATTAAAACAAATACCTGATGGTAACTCTTTGATGGTGGCACCTCCCTTTTCTTGTCTAAACTTTGAAATATAATAGCTCAACAATTGGATGTCATTCCTTACAGGATCCTCGTAGACGTACACGTTCCTGCGTCTCGGGTGAACTTTGTCACCGGCAAAGGATACACACGACAAGTATCCTTGTCCTGTAGAAGAAAGGCAAAATAAACAAAAATGAATAGAAAGACACGATGAATCAATACGAGTGCCGTATTCTTGAAGGACGGAAAAATATACACTGGGAGCTATAAGCACTCACGTGTCAAGTGACAATGCTAGGAAACACGAAAGCGGAACGCCCGTGAACTTAAAAGCTCTATTACGGTTGTTGCCATCAGACACTTGGTGGCCGAAAATCGAAAGCAGCAGGGAAAAGCTTTGTATTAGATGCGGAACACGTGGCTAACGCTGTTTCTATAAAAAAAAGCAGTAGAATAAAACAAAAAAGTGTTAAAAAAACAACTTTAAAAGCTTGTAAAGTTATTGAGTTAGTTTGGAGTGAAGGGGTGTTCTATTTTGTTGACATTAAATGTTAAATTTTACTAATTTTCAATATTAGGCGAATTTGAAGGAAAAATAATAACATTTTTATTTGTAAATCTGCATGAAAAGAACCGTAAGCTAAATTTAATAAATAATTTTCTGAAGAAAATCCTCAGAATACTTTCCTATTCAATTTCAGAAAATTTGGAAAGTTACGAAAAAATCAAAATTGGATCATATACTTTAACCCCAAGCAACCCCGGTGTCCCCTATAGGTATACCCTATCCTTGCTCGAAATTTCAGCTATTTTTCGATAGATAGTAGCACAAAATTGCTACTTATATGCACACATCAGTTACAATCAAGTTGTTACACAAAGAAGAAAATGTTAATCCAATAAATAAGAGAGTTGCAAGAAGAAGATCATGTTTGACCAAATCAAGGGCCTTACTAAATTAAAGCAAAATCATCTTGATCAAAACAATCATAATACAATAACCGGTGTGAAAACCAGATTGCGTGTCATATATTACATGATACTCCTCAAGATATAACAACATGAACAAGTTTCCATACAGATTGGGGATAAATTTTGTAGAAAGAAATTAAAATTTGCCTTAAACCAATAAAATCTGCACTGGCACACTTAGAAGTAGAGTCCTGTCAATAATATAGAATAGAATTTGAGAGGTTAAACCATTAGGTGTCTCAATGACGGGGATTAAGTGGTTTTCAAAACAGTGTCAAGAATCACAGAATGTTTGGCAAAGTAGCTAGCTAGCTAAAATTTCCCAAAATGTCTTACGGGTAAATTCGAATTTGATTCAACTGATTATAAGCACACTATATCACCATCCACATGCAAGGAAGTGCGCTTGACTCCTATCTCAGCCCTATTAATTCATCAGTGTGTCGATGAGACGAATCGTTGCCTCAGTTGCTTTATAGACATTTCCAGAGGAAAAATTGATATAAAGAAAAACTGACTAATATCCATATCGGAAAAGAACAAGACGAGAAGTAAGCTTGGTAGTAGTAAGCAGCGTTCTTTTTTAAAACACTTAGGGCTTGAAGCTGGCGTTTGAAAAACTTAGTTCAGAGGTAACAAAAGTAGGATATCATGGATATAAAACTTTTCGTTACCCCCACCAGGTTTATGGATCATTGTCAATCAAAAGTTCCTCAAGATACTTATCTAACTCTTTTATTCCAAGTGCAATTGATTTTATATTTGTACCTCCCCTCGTCGATTGACCTGGTCTTTAATATCTGCTCACAATGAAGAGGACCTTGATAAAGACGAGATACTTAATTAAATGTTTTTTACAAACTCTGCCACAAAGAGTTTCTTTTGCCACCGAATACTTATTTTCTGAATAGAATCCAAATTTCTTAATTCTTGGATCCAATATTGTATCTTGTTGTTGATTAATTTAAATTGGAGTTAAAAAAGTTAAGGCTGAAATTACCGCTTCTTTGATTTTTAAAATTTTTTGCAAGATATCATAACAAGAAGTGAAAAGCTAATGAAAAGGGAAACGAGTAGATTGCAAGCTGTAGAGGTGAAATATCTGAGAAGGGTAAAGAGGGTGACGAAGAGAGACACAATTAGGAATGATGACATAAGGAAAGAGTTAAATATTGAGGCTTTGATCTATTTTATAGAAAAGAGACTCAGTTGATGAAACGAGAATGTTTGGCAAGAAAATAAGGGAGAGGAGAGAGAGAGGAAGACGACGAGACACTTGGGATAAGCCAATAAACAAGATAATCACCAAAAGATGAAAAACTGTGAAATAAAAATGTGGATACAATTCGTGTACGGGGAAAGGTCATCAGAAAAAATGTCTATTCAAAAGTAAAATTGTAAGTTTGTGTAAAAGAAAAATTCTATTCATCTATAATTGTATTTGCATAAAAGTCTTCCGCGGTACCCTCTCATTTTACGGTAAACATCCTAAAAATGTATTTCAGCAATGTGTTTTCATTTCAAAAATGTACCACTCTTGTAATGAAATATTATTTATTAATGGTCCACAGGTATGAAGTTTCGGAACTCTGTATTCTCTACAATACTAAAAAGATGGTATTTTATAGTGATCATTCATACAAGTTACATTTTAACATTCTTCCACATTTGCTTCCTCAGCTATTTCAGATACCTATAAGTGACAGTCACTTTGGCAGATCTTGAGATCCTGAAATTGATGTACGTTAATTAAATGCTATTTTTTAGCACGATTTTGGCAAGTGACGTATTAAATTGCTAATTAAGCTTTGGGTGATTTGATAAACCATGAAAAATGTTAGGATTTTGCCTCATTCTCACCAATTTGGGTGAAATGATTCCATTGATCAAATTTTAGATCAAAAACACAAAAAAAAAGTGATTTAATCTAGTATTGAGTTTAATATTAAATAATACTTTCACTTAATATTAAAAAAAACATTCTTTTAGTGCAAATTACAATAGCAATATAATTGGAAAAGCTGATTTTATTAAAATTATATATTATATTCCAGATTAAATTCTGTAATGATTGTTGAACGTTGTGTATAGTGTCAAGAACAATACACAACGCTAATTCCGCTTCCACGTAGTGACCTCTATTACAATCTGGATTCACAACAATGAATGATACGAACTTTCACATATAATTTATTTATACTAAAAACACAACAATCATATAAATTTATTAAATTAAAATCGTGTAAAATGTTTTCTTTTTTTAATGGGTACGATATCAAATCCATTTATTGAGGGGAGGATCCCGTAGGAATCTGAATTGGATTTCAATAAAACTTGGAAATCCAGTTTAGTTGAAGCTTCAACCAGCACCTACTTTGGAATCGCGGTTATCGATTTTCAAGTCAAATAATAAATGCTGTTTATACAAGCGAATAAATGTTTAAAATCGTACCCTCGAATTTAATATTAATTTCAATTTTCATTTATTTACAAATTGAAACTTTATATTCATAATAATAATCGAAAAATAAGCCCAAATGAAATAATAAAATAAAAAGAGTATAATAAAATGTCCTTTTCATAAACTTTTATCGATTTTATCGTTAACAATTCCTTAAAAATCTTTATAAACGACAAGAAATCTCGTAAACGACATATACACATCGGAAATCGTATAGATGAGAGGGGAAGGAACCCATAAAAGAAAGTCCCCGAGGATGATTCCGCTATAAGCAGTATACCGTTGATACGTTTTCCTTGGGGTCAATATCCTGTTTTTGGTAAACCGGAAACAGGCAAACGTTTCATTTTGCCCCGATCGACTCCGATTCATCCCCAAGCATCAAAAATTACTTTTCAAGAATAAATTCCAACAGCTCAATGATGAAAATACCAACAACATTTTTTGGCAACCGTCCAGATACTTTTAAAAATTCCATTTTCAATCTATCCAATTCCGAACACGCGCAGAATCTGATCTAGTTCAACTCCCGCGTTCGTTAGTCGTATTCAAGTGACAATAATGTGACGAAAAATTGTTTTCTATCATTTTTTTATAGATGTGGTTACAAATTCGAAAAAGATATCATTCTTTAATAATTGATTTTAATTTTGGTAATACAGTAAAACCTCAGATATAACGGACTATTAATATTATCTATTTAATTCATAGATAGATATACATACATAGATAGAATCCAACTCGGGTTATTCCCCAAGTTGCTCCATTTCATGTTCATAGATAAAGCTAAGACCTAAATAAACCTAAACCTAGAACTAGAAGCAACTGCTAGGTAGAGCTAGTTAACACCAGATATTACTATGTTGCATATTTTTGTTGAACTAAAACTAGAACTAACACTAGACCTAGAACAAGAAAGTTTCTTGTTATAGGTCTAGTGTTAGTTCTAGTTTTACTTGTTGTTCAGTACTAGATTGTTATATATTGATTTGAACTAAAAGTAGAACTAACAGTAGACCTAAAACTAGAAACATTCTGGTGTAAATTACAGATTTTTGATATAACACTCCTTTCCCAGTACAAATCCGTTATACCGAGGTTTTACTGTAGTATTATAAAAAAGAAATTCAAATTGAATATGATAAATAAAGTTATTAGAATACGTTAAGTGTAAAAAATATAATGTTTGAGTTTTATGTGCATTTTATGTGCAAATTAGCATTAAAATAAAAAATAAGTAAAAAAAATTGACGTCACAAACAGTATGTTTTAAAAATAGTATATCAAACAATAATCGTATAGAAAATCTAACTTTAAATTGATATGAAAAATGTTCTGATTTTTAATTATATAGATATAGTTCATCTACTCGACGAATTTAGGTATAAGCACAAAAAAAAATTGAAATTATAAAAATTAAATTAATATAAAAAGTAAGTTTTTCTAAACGAAATTTTTATTTCATATAGTTACTTTTAAAACATGTACATAAAAAAATTTAACTGAAAAAGACAGGACAGAAAAAAATACGTTTAAAAAAATTGTAAACAAAAATAATTTAGCATCTAGATAAACTATTTGCTAAAAAAAAGCGTAACATTTAAAAAAATGTGTAAAAAAAGAAGATGTCTCCAAAAAAGTAAGACAAAAACTTACTGAGGTGACGATTTGGATCAGTTTTAGAATGCAGTCCTGTAAAAATTGTTTAGATATATTATAAAAAAAGTTTAAATAAAAATAATGGATCATAAAAGAAATCATATTATATTTTATAAGTACTTTGAAAAATAAATTTGTTTTTTTCTTGTCTTATCTGAAAACTATTTTTTCTATCATTATTTATGAAGATTAAACGGAAAAGTTGGCGGACATCAGCATATTTCCAAGAAGCCAAAGGATGGATGGTCAAAATTAGTTATTATTACAAAACGGTCGCGTTAAAATAGAAGATAACGAAAAAGAAGAAGAGAGAAAAAAGGAAACTTGGAGTAAACGAGCCGCCATGCGTTGAAAGTTGGCCAATTTTGGGAAAACTTTTCAGGTTCCCGACTGATTTCATAACGACCACCGGTCTATTTTTCCTTTTTTTTCCCTTCTTTCACAACGTAAACGAATTCCAAGACTTAGCATTTATTTTTTTCTTGGCAATTTAAAAAGTTTTGAAAAGAAAAAATTTTTTATGGTGGTAAATATGTAGCAAAAGTTTACTTACCAAAATATTTTCTCACCGGTTCGCTGTAATACGTAGTGTACGCTACAACTCTTGGATCTTTTGGAGATGACATCATCATTTTATATATGTAACTGTCGGAATATGTTTTTACTGGAAACTCATCGTACCTAAAAAAAAGAAAGAATTTTCGGTTCATGATTGATTAAAGTTATTTTATTATAATTCCCAATAAATTCAATATCTAATCAGTGTTATGTTTTTCTTAAACCTTTAACAACAAAATAATCGTTTGCATTGGTTTTAAACAGTAATTCTTAAACAGTTCGGCACAGTGGGTCTGAAAGTTGCAGATTTGTGGTAGTTATGGTTTATAACTACAAATGCTGAATAGTTGGAAAGAAATTGATTATGGGTTAAGCCTTTGTGATGTGTTATGAACAACCCATGTTGTTAAATGTAACTAATATGAAATTATTCGAACTTTAAATCTTCTACGCTGGTAATAATAAAATTATAGTTGGGTTATAACAGTTTTCGAATAATATTATATTGGTTCATTACAAATAATTTTCATCTACCACATTTTCTCATAGCATTCTTGGTTCTCTAACTGTACTGAATATTTTTATAAAAAAAAACGTCAATTTAGGGATTTCGGTATTTTCTAATTTATAAAGAAAATTCGCAAAATTTGATAACCCCGTTTATGCATAAAGTCTTTATAACGTACTATTAACAATATTTATTAACATTATTCGCTTTCAGGTTTTTAATTTTTGAGATAAAAACCATTTTCTTGTCAAATTTGTCAAATTTGTAATACTTAGGATTTTAAATCCGCTATATTGGTATTAATCATAGTTGGGTTATAAGTGCTTTTGAATATTATTAGGTTGGTTTATTACAAACAATTTTCACCCATAACATTTTTTAATAGCATTTCTAGTTTCCAAGTTACAATAAATATTTGTAACCAAAACCGTCAATTTCGAGAATTGTGGATTTTACGGTTTATAACTATAATTACCTGATAGTTGGAAAAAATACTTTGATGATTATGTCTTTCTGATGTATTACGCACAATTTTAACAATATCATACTCATTCACAACTTGTAATTTTTGAGATAAAACCATGTTATTGTTAAATCTGTCAAATTTGAAAAGTTTCAGACTTTTAATCCGCTAAGTTTGCAATAATCATAGTTGAGTTATAAGTGCTGATAATATTTTAATGGTTAATTATAAATAATTCGCGTCAATAACATTTTCTCCTAGTATTTGTAGTTTTCGAGCAAAAATGAATATATAAAGCAAAACGCTGATTTGCAGATTTCTGGTATTTATGGTTTATAACTAAAAATGCTGAATAGTTGGAAAAAAATCGATCATGGGTAAAGTCTTTGTGATGTGTTATGAACAATTTTTAATAACATTATCCTCATCTACAATTTTTACAAAACCCAAAGAAAACCCATATTGTTGTTAAATGTAACGAATTTGAAATTATTCGAGCTTTAAATCTTCTACGCTGGTAATAATAAAATTATAGTTGGGTTATAATTGTTTGCGAATAATATTAAGTTGGTTCATTACAAATCATTTTCATCTACAACATTTTCTCATAGCATTATTGGTTCTCTAACTGTACCGAATATTTTTATAAAAAAAAACGTCAATTTAGGGATTTCGATATTTTCGAATTTATAAAGAAAATTCGCAAAATTTGATAACCCCGTTTATGCATAAAGTCTTTATAACGTACTATTAACAATATTTATTAACATTATTCGCGTTCAGCTTTTTAATTTTTGAGATAAAAACAATTTTCTTGTAAAATTTGTCAAATTTGTAATACTTAGGATTTTAAATCCGTTATATTGGTGTTAATCATAGTTAGCTTATAAGTGCTTTTGAATATCATTAGGTTGGTTTATTACAAACAATTTTGATCCATAACATTTTTTAATAGCATTTCTAGTTCCCAAGTTACAATAAATATTTGTAAACAAAACCGTCAATTTCGAGAATTGCGGATTTTACGGTTTATAACTGTAATTACCTAATAGTTGGAGAAAAATAGTTTGTAAATTGTCTTTGTGATGTATTACGCACAATTTTAACAATATCATACTCATTCACAACTTGTAATTTTTGAGATAAAACCATGTTATTGTTAAATGTGTCAAATTTGAAAAGTTTCAGACTGTTAATCAGTTAAGTTGGCAATAATCATAGTTGAGTTATAAATGTTTGCGTATAACGTTTTAAAGTTTCATTATAACCAATTCTCATTAATAATATTTGGTTCTAGTATTTCTAGTTTTCGATTTATAATGAATATATTGCTGCAAAAATATCGATTTAGAGATGTACATTTCATACGTTAATACCTTTCCAAAGAAAATCGTAATTCCAATTCAATCTTTAAGTAATAAAAAAAGTGTATTGTAAAAAATTACATTAAACAGAACACATAAAAAACTTGAATACAATAAACTTCAATATTTGCTTGAAACTATAAAAATAAAACCACATAAGATTGATAAAAAGATATATCACGACGTAAAAATAAAAATACTGGAGCGTCTGTAGCCGTGCGTACTTCCCCAGTATCCTCTTTAAGAGATTAAACGTCGAGGTTCCCCAAAGAAATTCCAACGATTTAGCAACCGTTATCTCTTCAGTCTCGTTACTATATAAAGCTTCGTAAAAGAAAATCATCAAACAGTCGCACTTTACTCGTTAATACAACTATTTCTTATCATTTCGTAGAATTTATTAATCTACGTCAAAACAAAATGAATTTCTACCGTGTTTTTATTCTCGTTTTGGTCATTTTCTGTTTATTGAGTGGTCAAACTGAAGCAAAATGGAAAGGATGGAGAAAAATTGTAAGTAAATTTAACTTCATTTTATTTAAAAATTTCTTTAATTAATTTATTTTTTTATGAAGGAAAAGAAAGTCAAAAAAGTTTTTAAACATACCAAAGAAGCTTTACCTGTTGTGCAAGGTGTTATTGGAGTCGCCCAAATCGTTGGTCGATAAAAATAAATCAACTTAACTCGAAAAACAAATTTATAAGACTTAAATTAATATATTTAGTATTAAGAAAATGACCTCGTAAAGTATTCTTTATTTTATTGTACAAACTTTTAAGCAATAAATTGTTCAATCTACTTCATTCGTTCAGTTTTTCTTCCTTTTTGTTTGCTGAGAAAACATTCCGCTTAATTTCCCCCTTAAAGGAGGGTGAATTTTCAAGACGTTTGGTAATCGATTTCCAACTTGAACGTGTCTGAAGTGCTCGAAAATTTAAAGTTAATAATCTGTCTAAAATACATTGACGCATCAAAATTTGTTTTCAAACTGATACGAATTCGAATTATCTTTCATGTCAATACAAAGGGTACCGAGCCGTAAACCAAATCACTAACTACTAGTTGATGGATTATATGCTTCCAATACGAATTTCCGTTACTATTACACATTTCCGGATTGTATACTGCCTATTAGAGTCCTGTTTAACGTTAGAGGAGGTACAAAGGGTTAAGCGTACTAAGGATTAGAAGCGAGAGAGTTACATGATAAATTGGAAGTGCTGGAAAAGATAAATCTTCATGCTTAATGCAATTTTTTCCACGATTAAGGTTAATCTCGGAAATAATTGCTCACAGAACACTTTTTCTCTTCCAGTAAAAGAGAAATCAAACTAAAATTATTCACTTTTCAAATGTAAAGCTTTAATTTAGTGTTTTAAATTAGATTAAACTTAAAAAAAGCTTTACCTTACAAAGTTGGGATAAATGTTATTATTAATTAAATATCACTTTTAAATAATTAAATTAACTTACCTGGTAACATATGGCAGTGCTAGCGGTTTGGAAACACGAGGGACCGGAGCATGAATTCTCCTCAAAAGAGACGCCGTCTCAGCTCTGATCAACCTCTTTTCGTCGTCGAAGATCTAAAAATGTATGAAAACGTGAGAAATTCGTCATTTGGGGCGCCCTGTGACCCACTCAGGTGCGAGTAAAAATGAACAATCTCGCTAATATAACGACCAGTAACATGATTTTTCTTGGAAATCCAAAATTTCCATTATCTACTCGTTTTCATTGTTTCGATTTGTTTTAAATTTTAGTTTCATGTTAGTTTATGATTACAATTTTTCTTTTGCTGAATTTTTTTTGCGATTGATTATTATTAAAAGCTTTTTTTTTTAAGTAAGTAGACATTGCAAAGCGTATAACATAAAAAACAACAAAAATTCAAAAATTGATTTCATTAAATTTGGTTTAACAAAAATCTTTTTATAAAAAGTTTTTTAACGTCTTCAAAATTGTTTCAAAAATTGATTTAAAAAAACAAAGACACCAAAAAAGATTTACTTATAAGTAAATTGAAAGAAATAATTCATAATTAGACATTTTAAATGGTACACTGAAATATCAAATTTTAGAGATTAAAGAATTACAATATTTTGCTTTCTATATTGAAAATGGATCGGAAGAAATTGATCATAGATTATGTTTTTTGGTTTAAAACTTTTTAAAGCTTTTAAATTTTTTTGGTTCCATTTGTAAGCTAACCTAAGATATTATATTTTTATATTATTATATTTTTTATCAACTACCTGTATTGCAGTTGTGCAAGGTTGCAATCAAAATATCATAACTCCAAAATTTTAAGATTCAAAGAAATGATCTTCAATACATTAAATCCTAAATAAATATACTTTAAATTGCGTTTTATTTCATGATGATATCTCCATTCGTTCCTCAGATACGATTTTTTTAAATTTGTAATAATCAAATGTGCAGAGTTGGATTTAAAAAATCATAACAACGACGTTTATGGAAAGTAAGAAATTATTTATGGCACATTATATCTTCATTAAATTTCTTTTAAAATGTTTTTTATTTCATGATTGTATCTCCATTCGTTCCTGAGATATCATTTTTTTAAATTTATATTTCATATCTATAACAATGAAACATGCAGCGTTAGATTTAAAAAATCATATCAACGACGTTTATGGAATATAAGAAATTATTTATGGCACATTAACTCTTCATCATATTTGCTTTAAAATGTTCTTGATTGTATGATGATATCTCCACTCGTTCTTGAGATACAATTTTTTTTAAATTTAACACAATCAAACATGCAGAGTTGGATTTAAAAAATCATAACAAAGAAATTTATGGAAAATAAGAAATTATTTATGACACCTTAAATCTTCATCAAATTTGCTTTAAAACGTTTTTTATTTCATGGTGATATCTCCATTCGTTCTTCAGATACGATTTTCTTAAAATTTATAATAATCAAATATGCAGAGTTAGATATAAAAAATCATAACAATCATGTTTATGGAAAATAAGAAATTATTTATGGCACATTAAATCTTCATCAAATTTGCTTTAAAATGTTTTTTATTTCATGATGATATCTCCATTCGTTCTTGAGATACGATTTTTTAAAAATTTATATTTCATATCTATAACAATCAAACATGCAGAGTTGAATTTAAAAAATCATAAGAACGATATTTATGAAATCTAAGAAATTATTTATGGCACATTAAATCTTCGACAAATTTGCTTTAAAACGTTTTTTATTTCATGGTGATATCTCCATTCTTTCTTCAGATACGATTTTCTTAAAATTTATAATAATCAAATATGCAGTGTTCGTTAGATTTAAAAAATCATAACAACGATGTTTATGGAAAATAAGAAATTATTTATAGCATATGAAATCTTCATTAAATTTGCTTTAAAATGTTTTTTATTTCATGATGATATCTTCATTCGTTCCTGAGATACGATTTTTTTTAATTTATAACAGTCAAACATGCAAAGTTGGATTTAAAAAATCATAACAATGACGTTTATGGACAAAAAAGAAATTGTTTATGCCACATTAAATCTTCATTAAATTTACTTTAAAATGTTCCTTATTTCGTGATTTTAATTAGCAAATTATAACAGACTAACAATTTTATAAATAACATATTTCTAGCAAAAAGTATCAAAAGCTTATCTCTTAAAGAAAATTGTTTTCATGAAACATTTCTATCTCAATTGGTGTCTTTGCCAAAATAGATTTTTAATTAAATTTGTATTATTACAGTGTTTTTAAATTTTAGTACTCACACGAGCATGTCTCGGTTCTCTTAGAGGAGGACCAGTTTTATAAATATAAGTGACGTCTAGCTCTGGATGTCTAACGAAAGCTACGTTCTGTAAACAAATTCTTTTTTCTTATTTTCCTTTTAAATCTGCTTAAGCCAATTTAGCCTCTTATTTGTTTTACCGCATAGGAAACATATATTTTTAAAGGTACCTTTTAAAATGTCTTTAGAAGTATTTTCTTGTAAAAATATGATACGTTATGTAAAAAGTGTCTTTGCGCAAAACATTTTCTTATTGGTGGATTAAGAACATTTAAACAGGCGATGATAATAGTTTTTTTGTGATTAATTTTTTATAATAAATACTTACAGATGAGAAAAATCTCGAATATCTAGGAAGATAGGTTGGATAAAGATATTTATAATAATAATAATAGAAGTAAGGATAGAGCGATGAGTCAATTGCATTTGGACGATCTAATAAGTATCTCTGAAATGAGACAAATTCTTTTTTGTAATTTCTCCTTTTAATATTTCTTTAATTTTTTTCTTAATTTAATTAATTTGATTTTCTCATTTTATCCTCCATAATACTTACTAGAGAATACAAAGATGAATAACGAGGTCGTGAAATAGGATAGTAATTGTAGTAATAATAATATGGATTATTGTAAATAGTATCGTAATAGTATGGACGTCTAACCAAATATCTCTGTAAAAAATTCTACTTTACCCCTCAAATTCAAATTTTTCAAAATCTATTTTTTTTCTAATACAAGCAAGGTTTTTATGTATTTTTAAAAAGAATACGAAAAAAACCTTTAAAAATACACGTTTCCTTGCATAGACAACGCACAAAAAATTTTCTTTAAATTTAATATTGATTTATTTTATACATTTTTGAACGTTGCCTTTTTTTTAATTTCCTCATTATACTTACATTGACGTAATACGTAGGATAATACGGACGATAGATAGTATAGTAGTAAGATGGGGTATATGAATATGTATACGGATATCTGATATAACTATACGGATACCTCTGCAAATAAAGATTTATCTTTTAAGAAATCTAAAAATCCAAAAATTTCTACTATCTAAATGAAAATTGATTGAATTTTCGAGCTAAAAAGCTACATTGTTATTGATCGAATGAAAAAATCTATTAAAAAATTCTATGAATTTTATGGAAATCGACAAAAAAAAGCATTTGGTCACGATGTTTATTAAATACGTATTCATTTCAAGGTACAGTAAAATCTCGATATAACTCGAGTATCCGTTATAACCAAAAATTCGTTATATGAACAATTTTTAATTTGCACTTTAAACTGTTTTAATGTACACAAACAGCTATTCGCACCGTTGCGTTCTGTATTAGTTAGTTCTACTAACTAAATAAAAATATACAACAATCTAACGCTGAATAACAACTAAAACTAGAACTAACGCTACACCTAGAACTAGAAACTAGAGACATTGCCAAAACTTTCATAAATTCATGTTTGTCGATTTGTCCTATAGTTTTACATCAATTATAAAAACGTTTACCGCAGAGATATCTAGAATTTTATACAAATAAGCCATCGGGTATCTCTGGGTTTGTTGCAATGTGCTGTGTATAGAACATTTCTCAGCAAGAGCGATTGACGAAACTAGAATCTAGAAGACTGCTGCTTGGAGATAACTATATTTTGCTCTCAGAAGATTAGGAACTGCTTGACATTAATTGCAGAAACTGGATATCGCTGACAGAAGGCTAAATTCTGCTAACAGCGAACTAAATGCAGTTAATAGAAGACTACATAGCGTTTGCAGAAGATTACTTACTGCTTGCATAATATAAAATATTGCTGGTAGAAGACTAGATACACTGTTAGCAGAAGACATAAATCAGTTTGCAGATAATACATTTTAGAAGTATTTTAGAACTAATAGAAGACTAAAATTAATTGCAAAAATTGGATAACACTTAATACTGCTGAGAGATAACTAGATACTGCTAATAGAAGACTATGTAGCGTTTGCAGAAGACTATTAACTACTTCCAAAACCCTAAATATTGCTGAAAAAAGATTAGATAATATATCATGAACTAGAATACTGGAACTATTAGGAACTGGTCTTTGTTTAGGAAAGTCCATTATAGCGCAGAAGAGAGAATGCATAACCTTGAGCTACTCTTGCTCTCATGATTTTCATTGTGGACCAGCGATATGCAGAACACGTGCAGACTCTGTTATTTTTCCTGAGAGTACCAACATGGGTTAGTTTCCTATTACGTAGGTCATCAATTAACTGCATTAATGAAAACCAGTTATATTTATATATGTATACAGTATATAAAGGCTGTTTTATTAATAATGGGAAATATTTTAACTGGAGATACTACGTGTCAAATAATGACCATTGACCAAAAATAGCCTTATTCAAAATCGCACTGTTTTCGAGTTGAAGGTCTTCAAAGTCCCAGAAAAAAATAGTTTTTTCCATCTTTAAACAATTAAAAAATTCAGGAATTCTAAGCGGCCACGAAAATTCACTACCCCTGCCAATCCAACGATGGGAAAATTGCTAATCTAGATAGTTTCGTACGATCAGAGGATAATGCATCTTGCATGAACCACATATCTCTACTTTGGTTAAGTGGAAGTTCTTCTACCTCGTTGAAAAGTGAAGTTTGCAGAAACTCCAAATACGAGTTACCATTCATATTTGCTGGCAATTCATAAGGACCCAACAGACTATCTCCAAAAATAAGAAGCATGTAATAATACTAAATCGCCATGCCAAATTTTATTTTCATCGTACAAGTAGATTAGCTTAAAGATGGAACAAACGCTTTTTTTTTCTGGAACTTTGAAGACCTTCATCTTGAAAACGGCGCGATTTTGAATAAGGTTATTTTTGGTCAATGGTTATTATTTGACACGTTAAACACAAGTTAAAATATTTCCGATTATTAATGAAATAGCCTGTATATAGTTATATTAGTTATCTGCAGTTATATTTCTATTTGCTCCAACAATTGGGTCCCTAAACGCAAGAAGCATATCATCAATGCACACGTTCACACCAACTTTATAACTTTTTTGACAATTTTCAAAGAATTTATTAAAAATGTGACTGATAACAGCGGCGTAATCAGATCTAGATCGGTGGATTCTGTCTTCTGGTTTGTCATAAATTGGCCAATAATACAGAAAATCTTGCTTTACTCATAACTGTGAGGACATTCCATATCTTTTCGGGTGAAGGAGGTGTGTTTGGGAGTGCTGATGTTTTTGGGTAACAGAGATTCCTTTTTCCATTGAAACCTATTTCGCCCATAGAAGCATTCTTCGTGGTTCTCGACTACGTCTTTAGACATAGAATATTTCAATTTGAATCATAGTCACTATTCATTATGTTTTTGTTACTATCACTTATATCACTAGCGCTTCTCTCATTACTCCACCGTTTCTTCAAATTTCGCGTTTAACACGTTTTTTGAATAAGCCTGCTTTATGAGCCATTATGACCGGGCAAATAGCTACATTCGAACTGATGGTGAGTCTTGCAGACTACAACTCACCTATATTCGACAATTTTGGGGATTTTAAAAGTCCTTCTGCCATAAATAATAAAAAAGAGGTATATTAAAGAATACCTTAGAAATACCAGAAATAAAATTTATGACGGGATATTACCGAAAATAGAACAGTCAGCGTCTATGAGACTCCAGGTCAGCCACCAAGGGTTAAGAGACGTACGGCTAAACCGAAATATTTCTAGTTCTAGGTTTAGTGTTGGTTCTAGTTTTAGTTCTATAAAATATCCAACAATCTAGCACCGAATAGAACAATTAAACTAGAACTGCAGTCCTTGATTTATACATCGTATAGACAACTCGGGGAATATCACGAGTTTATCTATGAACATGAAATAAAGCAAGTTAGGGAATAACCCGAGTTGGATTCTATGCTATGTTATATCGAGGTTTTACTGTATTTTCGTCGTAAAATTGGAACGTATGATTCACGTTTTGATTTTAAAATAGAGTTTTAAATGAGTCCGAATTTTCTTGGCAGTGCGTAGAATCTATAATTTTTCATTTCCCCAATAAAATTTAAATTGGGTAATCTCAAAGTTAAAAAAAACTTTTCTAGATGAAAATTTAGTTGCAATCAAACCAATTTGAAATGCGTATAGTGTAAATTCAAGTTGATACCTATTCCAGATCTGTCTCTATAGGTTAATTTGAATGCGAACGCGTATCAGTATTCACGGTGTGATATATTTAGACAGATTTAACCTAGATTTGCTTTATATTAGCCTACATAACCACGGTCAAATTAAATGAGAAATAAATACACAGGGTGATTCATATTTGAATTGAAATTCTTCATATTAATCAATCGCCTTTTTTTTCTTATTATTTTGTTTTCTAATATCAATTTTAAATTTTTATTTAAGATTTTATTCTTAACTTTTAAAAGATAATTAATTTAAACAGGAAAACATCGTACCGTCGTCGTCGTTGTTTAGCTAGTTATAAAATAGCTAATAGTTGTGTTGCCAAGGGCGCTCCTTGCGTCCGCCAAGAAGTAAAAGACGGCGTTTGATGCGAAAAAAATGAGGTGAAATAATGAACATGCCTTGCAAGAAAGCCTGAGGAGGAAAGCGAGCAGCCACAGCTGAAACGAGCCAACTACGGAGTAACATTGAAATAAAGCGGTTAATTAGCGGCGGAACTCCAGCGAAGGTCCCTCCCCTGATCCTTTCAACGAGTTGGAAGTTTACCCGTTTTTCTTAGTCTTTTCCAAACCCCGGTCGTACAGCAAACTAAACATTTCCGCATTCTAAATTAGTTCCTCTTAATCAAACAAAAACCCCACCCAAGCAATCAAGATGTACCAATAATAATAAGAAAGCTGAAAAGCTGAGGTTTTTTAATATCATTTCCTCTTCTTATTGCTAAAAGCGCGTGAAAGGATGTTTTTAAATTAAAAAAAAATCGATTTAGAAAAAAAACTTGGTTTTTCACTAAATTAACTTAAAATAAATCGATTTTCTTTGTCGTGAAAATGCTTTAAGGAAAATTTTTAACTTACCACCGCTGAATCTGAGTTGAGATATTCGCTCAACGCCGAGGTGTACGTGTACGGACGATACTTGTTTTCGATTCTATCGAATTCCTTGTAGAGAACTGATGGACGGACTTTGTATACCATTGGGTTTGATGTTACTACAGTGAGCCTCTTGTGACCCACGTAAGGCACGATCCTATCGTACGTATGTACGACATGAACCTAAATTTTTATTATTAGAATAAAATCTTAGTCACTATGAAAAACAAATCATTGATAATGTGTATACAACATTTATTTGTTTACATTTTAATTAATTACGAAAAAGCTCAATTATAAAAGTTACATCGCTTTTAATCACTTATAAAACCATGTGATAAAACAGAATTTATATAAATCGTTGCGATGATTGATCAAATATTAATGGAGTGTTATTAATCAAAAATAAGAGTTTAAAACGAGTTGATCGTATACTCCGAGTTTATTTCCACTTTTTGATACTTTTTTTCTAAAGTGCATTTCTCTATCTATAATGCCATAAATTGTTTGCCTACAGTGTGTTAATTAATTATCGTACCCGACGTCATCATTGCAAGTATGCAACCAATATCACAGTATTGGTATTGCAATACGCAAATCGTGTATACGGGTACGATAATTAATTAATACACTGTATTTATTTTATCCGCCTTATCCTTTATCTTACTCCACACATTTCTTTCTGTATTCTCAATCGTCGTCAACCTGCAGGATTAAAGAGTGTTATCATTGGCTCGAAATTGAAACTCTCTAAGAAGGAAGAGGATCTTTTTAGTGTTCATGCTTTGAAATAGAATATTGTATCGATGTTGCAAATTTGGTATAAAATAAAGGGACGCAAATGCAGAAAGGATTAACTGTTGATTTTTGGATTATATTGCTTAATTCAAAACGACAGTTTTAAGTTAAAGAGCATCAAAATTTTGCGTTTTCCTGCAAACACAAGTAAATTACAACCACTTTATCTAGGCATTAACAAAAATTTTAAAGTTTTTGATCATAAATTCGTTGTGAATCTCATATTGAAATGTATAGCAGAAGAAACTCCACGAGAAATAAATTTGTTGCAGGAGTTGCGTTTTGCCACTCTTGTAAACTCCAAAACTGGACCAAGAATAGACCCTTGTGGAACACCTGATGAACAAAATATAGAACTAGATATCACTGAATTCAACTTAACGGATTGAATTCTATTAGAAAGATAGTTATCAAACAGTTTAAAAGCATGTACATCCAACCCAATAAACTTTAAGATCTTCAATAGCAAGTTGTGATCAAGTATATCAAACGCCTTGGTGAAATCAAGCAATATCAAAAAAGTTGACTTGTCCTGATCTGAAGTCTGGAACACATCATCAGTCAAATTCAAAGGCGCAGTAGTACAACTAAATTGTTTTCTAAAACCAGACTGTTTAAGTGGTAATATACAATGCGCCTCTAAATAAGACTAAAGCTGCTCAACCATAAGCCTCTCCAATAATTTCATAACACTGACACTAGTATTCTTATATGCCTCAGATACTTATATGTATTAACTGGAGCTATTTTGGAAATGGGAGTAACATAGCCACACTTCCAGGAGTTTGGGAATCCTGATTGAGTAAGACAAGAATTGTACAGATGGCTAAGTACATCAAAAAATGATGTGATGATGAAAAAATATTTATGACGAGCACCACCATTCAGCTCAAGATTTGAGGAAGAGTGAAGACTGAAGTCTCAAGCAGAATAATGGTGATCAATAATTACTAAAAGTTAAGATATTAAAAACCTATTACTAGGTTTTTATATATTTATATTTACCAACCCCAATAGGACTTTTTTCATTGAATATAACATTATTTATATCAGGTTTGTCTTTAGCAACCTCATTCTAACAATCCCAATACGATATATAAAATCTCTTGTTGCAGTTTCGTCTAGTTTTCTTCTCTTCGCTTGTAATTCATCATCACATTCATTACTAACAGAACTGTAGCTGTTATCACTTTCGATTATTCATTAAAGTATCCTCTTTTTAATGCAAAAAGCCGTTTTGAAAAATCGCTTTTAGTTCTTGAGAAATAAATTTTTGAAATGAACAATTTTTTCGAATTTTGTAATTTTCGCCGATTAAGTGTTAAAAATTCGTATAAAATCGATTTCTTGGAATCTGAATATGAAAATTTCCCGAAATGTTAATAAAAGTGTCCTCTTTCCAATGAACCAACACGTTTTGAAGAATAACTTTTAGTTTTTGAGAAAACAATATTTGAAGTTTTGATAAAATTTTCGATGTTGCAATTTTCATCGATAAGTTTCAAAATTCGCTATAAAATTAATTTGTTGATGGATCCTTGTGGATATATCGCCAATTATTAATTAGAGTATCCTCTTTTTAGAGTTGCTTCGTTAGTTAAATCAGCATAAAAAAAGTTCATTTTGTATCTTGGATCCAAATAACTTGACATATCTTATCAGCTTTCTTATTAATTTCATTTTTATTCAAATATCACAATAATGTGGCAATATAGGGTATCACTTCAGAAATGCACCAGAAATTATAACCATAATGGCTGGATAGATATGCCGGTATCCGGCTTTTTGCAAAATCACTATCCGTTCCATCACTACAAGACAAGTAATTAAGACATCTCAACACATTTTTATTATCTAAAATTTTTTAGAAATGTAATTTAACTGAAAAAATAGTATAAGTACTGAATCCTCCACCATTTTTTCCATTTATTTATTTTAATCAATAAATTCTGATCAATCATCCTCAATCATTCCAAATAAAATCCAAACTTTTTTTCTTACTAAACAAAAAGCTTTTTCACCCCACCATATTATTAACGCTGAATTAAATTTATGAAAATGACCTTGTCGTTCCGATTTTGAAAGTAAAATTAAATCAAAAATGAACGAGTTTTTGCAATTTTGCATAGTCGCGGAAACGCTAAACCAAATATTATCGTTTCAACGTTCTAATTTTAAAATAGCGCAAATTCCCAGATCCGAATACCGTATCACAATGTATGGAAGCATACAAAACCGTGACCTTTAAATAACCTTTCACACAAACTTTAATTGAAATAGAGATAAATTTAGTGAACTTTGAAAATAAATTTATCAAAGTTTGTAAACAAATCGGTTTTAAATGAAGTTTTTTGATGTTATTTACTTACCTTTCCCAATCCCGGAAGGATCCTTACTTGCCTGGATGGAACCGACTGCACCGAAAAGAAAAAAAGACAAGGATGAGTTAGTTTGGGAAAAAACTGTTTCCTTTTTAATTCTGTTTAAAGTTTTTTTATTATTGTTTATATTTTTTAATGAGTTAATATCTAAAAGATAACTAAAAATAATGATAAATACGAATAAATTGTTTAAAAAAATCTTGTGTTTGCTATTATTCGATTGCATAAAATTTTCGTGAAAAGTATAAATAAAGGAAACGTTAGTAGACGGGAAATCCTATGAAACGGAAGAATTAAGGATTTTGGCGAAATTCTAATCTACTACAATAAAACGAATATTACTTTTAACAACGAATATATTGTACAAAGTACAAACTTAAATAGATTACTAAAAAAAGTAACGTGTATCATATCATAATATCTAACAAAAATAAAAAAGAACTTTCTGTAAAATAATGTTTTGTTAATACGTTACTTTTAGCGAATAAATACATATAAAAAAAAGTTTTTTTTGTTTCTAAAACGATTACAAAAATAAATTAGGATGGTCTTATTTTCACATTATAATTATTAATAAAATTAGGAACTTTTAAGATTTTTAATGAACCAGAGAGAGAATAAAGAAGAAATCGACCTTGAAACCAAACTTCCAACTAAAAATAAGACCAACCCATCACAATCTATTCTAAAAACACAACCAATCTCATCGAAGACAACCAAAAAGAAAAATAAATAAAAACGTATACATACAAAAATAAAACACCCTAAATTAAACCATCTATGTTAGTTTCAGTACTTGTTAGAGGCTACATCGGACGATAATAATTCAAAAATTAATTCAAAATTGATTCATAATTCATAAACAATTTTGATTTTTTAAACTCTATATGAATAATGGCGATAAGAAGTGCCTCCGGGTAATCTTCCGGCTGTAGTTGAACTGTAGCTGGAATGATACCCGCCTGGACCATCTCCGTAGCTACGGGAGCTACGTTCAGATGTAGAAGAATATCCACCTGGTCCGTCACCAGAAGTACGAGAAACTCGTTCTGTATTAGTGTACGAACGTGTTACCGGTCTTGAATAAGGATCACCAGAGCTCCTTTCCGATGTTGATTGATAGGAGTAGGAATATTGTTGTTCAGCGGCACGACGAGAAGTATCGGGAGCATCACGAACCGTATAATATCTTGGACTCTGTTGGAAAGAGAAAACAGTAGGAAAAAAATAGGTTTTTTTAAATTTATTAAAAAGTATTTTTTTGTTGTTCGGTTGAGTAGTTAAATGTTTTTGTTGTTTGTGTTTTCAGAAATTTTTGGAAAATTTTAGAAACCAAAGGTGCAGTATCAAATATTTCTTGCAATTTTAGATTTTGTTGCGTTTTGGGAGAGATAGAAACTACAAAATCCATAAAGTAAATAATAAAATATTAAAATAACGTTTCAGCTCAACGAAGGAATACAAAGATGACACGTCTTTTCGTTCTGTGAAAATCCTCAAGATGTATTTTGAATGTAAAATTTCAAAAATATAGTAAAATTATGAAGAAGAATTATTTAATTATTAAGTTAAATGCAGTAAACTTTAAATCCAAGATGAAACATCTAAGACAATTAAATAGAACAATACAACAATTTGTAAAACTTTCATAAAAGATGACAATTATTAGCAGAGAGAAAATGATGACGTTTTCATTTATAATCAGTTACATCGCTTTTAATCACTTATAAAATTTAGAATTTATATAAATCGTTGCGATGATTGGACAAATATTAATGGAGTGTTATTAATCAAAAACAAGAGTTTACAATTTCCCGTTTTTTGTTGCTTTTTTTCTAAAGTACATTTCTCTATCAATTGTATCATAAATTGTTTGCCCTCTATTTATTTTATCCGCTTCATCCTTTATCTTACTCCACACCTATCTTTCTGTATTGTGAATCATCGTAACCTGCAGAAGTATTGAGTGTTATTATTGGCTCGAAATTGAAACTCTAAGAAGGAAGAGGATCTCTTTAGTTTCAAGCTTGTATAGTTTCCCTCCAACAGGATGAAATTGAATGTTGCCTCGCTCTAACAATAAGTGGTCGCATTCTTTATCTAATATCGATGTTGCAAATTTTGTATGAAATAAAGGTACGCAAATGTAGAAAGCATAAACAGTTGATTTTTGGATTGCATTGACGATTGCTTAACTCATAACGACAGTCCTAAGTTAAAAAGCATCAAAATATTGTAACTTCTTGCAAACACAAGTAAATTACAACCGCTTGATCTAAGCATTATGCAAAATTTTAAAATTTATTGATCGTAAATTCATTGTAAAACTCATATTGAAATGCATAGCAGAGGAAATTCCACGAGAAATAAATTTGTTGCAGGAAATGTGTTTTATCACTCTTGTAAGCTCCAAGATTCTCTCTTACAATCGCAGGATGTTTTAGAAATCAGCTTATTTTCAATCAAAAATAGACAAAATCGATGTCAGATTCAGAAAACTAGGGTGATAAATTACCACCAATAAAGGAATGATCTTTATGGTCAAGACAGAAATCAATAAAAACTTCACTACAGAAAATACAGAACAAGTCCGTCATTCATTGCAGTCGTTTAGCCAAGAGTCATGGGAACTGATATTCCACCTTTTTTCTATCAGTGAAGGATTGGCAATAACATTACTTTGAATTCGGTTCAAGTAGTGTGGTAATATGACGCAATAAGGTTCTTAGATCTTTTGTGCAATAAAGAAAAACATAAATACACATACACAACATAAGTAGCTTATTAAAGAATCCCAAAAATAGAACATAACCATGTCAAGAATGAAAGTAAGTATTAAGTCATTGTTATGCAATTTTATATTTTGAATTATTTACTTGCTTGTAGACAAACTAACGTTGTTTGTGCCAATTCAACTACAGTCGAACCTGCATAAGTGAGTACTGTGTGAGTAAGAACCTTTACAACCATGATCCAAACGCCAGTCCAAGAATTTTTACTGAAAAAACTTGTATATTCGCCCAATTTTTACCTGTATAACTAGGATAATTTTTTCCATTCTTGTAAAAAGAATGATTTATTGCATTTAATGTTACTAAATAGTACGGTTAGAACATATTTCGCTGAAAAAAATGAGATATGTAAAGACTTTTTAGATTTGTTATATTTGACAGATGTCATTTGGGTTGCCTGCCCTAATAAAAGTAAAAATTTGTAATTGACATTGTAATTGAAGTTTCATGTCAATCAAATTACGTACCCCCGACTTTCTTTCAAATATCTACTTTCTAACCCACCATCTCGATTTTGGCAACTGCTTCATTCTTTGTAAACCAAAAAATACGTAAAAATGCTATAGCAAAACCTATATCACTAGAAGAATCAACATAAGAGACAAAAAGTAAGTATTGAAAGTAACAATATGAGTGAGATCCTCAAGGATTTATATTCAAAATTCTCACATTCTATATCAAAACAGGAGGATTGATATTTTAGTCAGTATTTTTTTCATTTTTGAACCCTTTCAGAGGTTATTAGAAGTCTAAAGTAGTGCTAACATCATGGAGTCATTCTGAGTAATATTTTGAGTAAGTAAAGTTTTGTTGTATTTCAGGGAAAAAAACACAAATTTAATTTAAAACATCTGACAAAAATAGTGAAAACTACACAAAGAAGGATATTCTGCAATTTTATACAATACATAATATAAAATTTTCAGTAAATTAGGCGCAGTTTTGTTCTATTACAGGGAAAATCGTAAACTTAAACATTAAAAACCTATACAGAGTGATTTGGTAACTTTAATTCTTATCTTAACTCTTCTAGTTTGAAACGTTTCATCAAATCATTCTGTATAATTAACAAAAATGTCTATTAAATATTTAGAATGGGTAAAACGGAACCAAATAAAAACATACTAGAAATAACACTCTGAAAATTAAATTCAACTTCAACGTACAAATAGGGGCACGAGAAACAAAAAAAATACCTCTTTTCTTTCTGTGCTTGTTTCGAATGCATAAGAATACATTTCTTCGGCTGAACGTTGATTACCAATGGGGGTATCGCAAACAATAAAATAAGTTGGGGTCTAAAGTGTAATTTGAAAAAAAACTTGTTATTAATTTTTTGGTTTGTACAAAAAATTACAAAAAAAAGCTACAAAGTTTAGTTCAAGGATTTTGTTGGAAACTGAAACATATTTTTAATTCTATTCCAACAATGAAAGAAAAAGTATTGAATTTCACGCGAGAGACTAGTAAAGTAGAAAAAATAACCGAGTTGAAAGAGTAACAACAATCGAGTGGTTCCGAAAAAAGAAATGGTTTAAATTTAGCCGCCGGACCTCGACGCGGACCGATTTAGGTCAGAACTAAAAATATTCAACGCCGGACATGTAAAATGAACAAAAAATGTAGTAAAAAAAATACTTTTGTATCTCAATTAACAGAGAACCTTTCATTTAATTTGAATAAACTAATTTTATATAAAAATTCTTACCTTTTTTATATAATAATCGAAACAAAATATGCGTAAACTTAATTCTAAAGGAAAAATAAACTTAAATCTAAAACTTGTAGTGGGAAATCAATAGGAATTGTTTGGTTTCTGGTTGAGATTAATAAGAAATAATGGTAACGACATCTTCTTCGACATGCAATCTGACATAAACAAACACAACATTTCCAAAAAAAGGGCAAAAACGTAAAAAAGACGTTCATAAAAAATTATTTCAATCGCATAAAACGTCACAAAAAGTGAAGTGTTGAAATGAATCATCAGAAATAAAACTCTAGTAAATTTCCACGACACAAACAACGCTTTATTGTGGAGTGTTCTGATGTGTACAGACAAAAAAAATAAAAGTAAATATTTGTATTTTTAATTCTATTTGTATTTTATAAGTGTAAACGGATTGTAAATGTGACAACAAAAAATAAACGGGCGTTTTACATTAAATTTAATTTATAAAAGCACAAACACGAAAAATTTTATATTAACTCTTTAACGTACAAATTTTATGCTTTTATTAGTCAAATCAAAATCATTTTTAACAATTGTCTTTGATATTTTTAATGCAAATATCAAAGAAACGGTATTAATCAAATTTACACCAAATAGTTATAGATATTTATTTTTGTATCATTAAAGAGTTAATATGGATTAGCCTCTAAAATAAGCGTAAATGTTAATAAAATGCCACTGGATGCAAATAATACTTTGAGAATAATTAGGAATAAAAATAAAAGATCTAATTTTTGTGTTTGACTATTTTTAAGATATGTTTTCGTTAATTTTGTTGTTTTCGTTCAAAATTGACCCAAAATTAAATGAATTTAATAAATTGAGCTAGATAGTAATTGTCGTTTATACGGCAAATTTGGTACTTCAGCTAATTTATGTATTTTCGGTAAAACAACGTCCATGGCGTCGCTTCCGGGTAATTCCCCGGGAACCGATTCCTTCTTGTTGATCATCGATAAAACTCGTTGTTTCGTTTGTTCCCTGGCAGAAACGTACGGTTTCAATTCGCTTAGATTCGTTTTCGGTCGAATACGGGCTTTCTCCAGAGGGGATAAGATGATTTTTCGGACCACCTGCTGTTGTTCTTCGGGTTTTCTGCGACCGAAGGCGGTCACCGGATCCGGTACTAGGCTCGGTCTGGGCACGAACGGTACTTTCTCCCATGGTATCTCACGTCTCTGTAATTGATTATCCAAGGATTAAAAGTTCCGTTCGTCCCAAAAATTAATTCCAAGCCTAGTTTTTTTTTAATAAAAAAAATAATATCAAGGGGAAAAATAATAAAAGGAAATTGTTAAGTTTAAAATAATTTTGGGACGTTTCATTAAAATTGTTGAGGAACATGTTCCAGATATTCCGAAAATAGTAATCTGTTTGTTTATGTGTTTTAAATCTTGAACAGTTTGGTCGAGGTTGAAAATCTAAACATTTCATTGAAAATGGTTCTTAAACGATAATAAATAAATAGATGCAAGTAAACTTTGTATCATTTAATTGTTTTATAAGAAAACATTAAGTTCAAAGTAGAAATATCAATCTAAAATATGTGAATGGAAAGTTTCGTTTATTTAACCATTTTTGATTCGACGCCTTGAGTAATACAAAAACCTTAATTATTTATTCAAAAATCTGATCAAAATTAAAAAGTCAATACCAGTTAGATGGGACGAGGCATTCAGAGCAGAGATGTAGCGCATTCCAGCAAGAAAATGGAATTATTTAAATACTATTATATCAACTAAAGAAAATCAAATTTTCTAAGTCACATTTCTCCAAGTGTGGCTATAAAAAGCAATAAACAATGATTTTTTGATCAAATAGCGCGATCACGAAACAGGATGGTCTAGAGTCTAGATCGTGGCTTTAACAGCAAAATCTAAACCAAGAACCTTCAAAAATTCATGGCAGCGATTCTTTTTTTAATGAAATAAAAGTACCTTGATTCGTTAAACAGAAACAGAAATGAAGGTTAAAAACTGTTCTCACATCTCCAAAACAATCGTAACCTAATTCTCAATACTACTTTTAAACAAAGATTAATTTGAGATATCAACAAATTTGGAAGTTTTACGTTAGTTTAGTTTAGTCCTTTTTGGGCACGAAACTAAAATACCTAGGAACTTTCAACTAAAAAGAAGATTAACTCTTATTTCCAAACATTCTTTAAAAAATATTAATTGGTGATATCAAAAAAAAATGAGGTTCTAGGTTACATTGAGTTTAAGATCTTTAATATCTAGATTCATCAAATTTTGTATTTTTCTCAATATTGACGCATATAAGAACAAAAGTGAGAGACAGTAATATTGATAAGAATAAAATTTGCTACATCTTTTGTTCTAAAAGTTTTTTTTGTAACAAGCTACGATTGCTGAGTGTTACTATTAATAGCTAGTAAAACAAAAAAATTCAGCGAATTTTCATATTTTCGTATTTCTTTCGATATTTACGCATCTGAGAGCAAAAGTGCAAGAGAGCAATATTATTAAGAATAAAATTTGCTACAACTATTGTTCTACATTATTTTGTGTATTATGCTCCGAATTCAGAGTGTTACCATTAGCAACTAGTAAAACAATGAAATTTTGCAAATTTTCCTTTTTTTTTTGAAATTTTCGTGATATTTACGTATCTAAGAGCAAAAGTGTAAGAGAGCAATATTGTTGAGAATGAAATTTGCTACAACTTTTGTTCTAAAAATTTTTTTGTAAAATACTCCGATCTCTAAGTGTTACCATTAGCATACTAGTAAAACAACGAAATGCAGGAAATTTCCATATTATCGTATTTTTCTCGATATTTACGGATCTGAGAACAAAAATGCAAGAGAGCAATATTGTTAAGAATAAGATTTGCTACAACTATTGTTTCAAAAGTTTTTTTGTAATATGCTCCAATTCCCAAGTGTTACCATTAGCAACTAGTAGTACAACAAAATTCAGCAAATTTTCATATTTTCGTATTTTTCTAGATATCTATGCATCTGAGAGCAAATGTGTAAGAGAGCAATATTGTTAAGAATTAAATTTGCTGCAACTATTGTTCTAAATATTTTTTGCGGTATGCTCCGATTCTTGAGTGTTACCATTAGCAACTAGTAAACAACGAAATTCAGCAAATTTTCATATTTTTGGAATTTTCGTGATATTTAGACATCTGAGAGCAAAATGTAAGAGAGCAATATTGTTGAGAATAAAATTTGCTACAACTTTTGTTCTAAAAATTTTTTTGTAAAATACTCCGATCTCTAAGTGTTACCATTAGCATACTAGTAAAACAACGAAATGCAGGAAATTTCCATATTATCGTATTTTTCTCGATATTTACGGATCTGAGAACAAAAATGCAAGAGAGCAATATTGTTAAGAATAAGATTTGCTACAACTATTGTTTCAAAAGTTTTTTTGTAATATGCTCCAATTCCCAAGTGTTACCATTAGCAACTAGTAGTACAACAAAATTCAGCAAATTTTCATATTTTCGTATTTTTCTAGATATCTATGCATCTGAGAGCAAATGTGTAAGAGAGCAATATTGTTAAGAATTAAATTTGCTGCAACTATTGTTCTAAATATTTTTTGCGGTATGCTCCGATTCTTGAGTGTTACCATTAGCAACTAGTAAACAACGAAATTCAGCAAATTTTCATATTTTTGGAATTTTCGTGATATTTAGACATCTGAGAGCAAAATGTAAGAGAGCAATATTGTTGAGAATAAAATTTGCTACAACTTTTGTTCTAAAAATTTTTTTGTAAAATACTCCGATCTCTAAGTGTTACCATTAGCATACTAGTAAAACAACGAAATGCAGGAAATTTCCATATCGTATTTTTCTCGATATTTACGGATCTGAGAACAAAAATGCAAGAGAGCAATATTGTTAAGAATAACATTTGGTACAACTATTGTTTCAAAAGTTTTTTTGTAATATGCTCCAATTCCCAAGTGTTACCATTAGCAACTAGTAGTACAATAAAATTCAGCAAATTTTCATATTTTCGTATTTTTCTCGATATCTATGCATCTGGGAGCAAAAGTGTAAGAGAGCAATATTGTTGAGAATAAAATTTGCTACATCTTTTGTTCTAAAATTTTTTTTGTAAAATACTCCGATTTCTAAATGTTACCATTAGCATACTAGTAAAACAACGAAATTCAGGAAATTTTCATATTATCGTATTTTTCTCGATATTTACGCATCTGAGAACAAAAATACAAGAGAGCAATATTATTAAGAATAAGATTTGCTACAACTATTGTTCTAAACATTTTTTAGTAAAACGCTCCCATTCCCGAGTGTTACTATAACTTGAAAAAACAACAAATTCATCAAATTTTCATATTTTTATACTTTTCTCGATATTGACGCATTTAAGGGTAAAAGTGCAAGAGAACAATATTGTTGAGAACAAAATTTGCTATAACTTTTGTTATAAAAGTTTTTCTATAACATGATCCGATTCCCAAATGTTATCATCAACATCTTGTAAAACAACGAAATTCATCAAATTTTCATATTTTCGTACCTATAGCTTGTATTGGAGATATTTATCAAAGAAACTGAAACTCTTAAGACCTTCTGATTATCAATGAAATAAACACCAATTCAATTAATTCCTTGGTACAAAATAACATCATTGAAACATTTCGTTTAATCTAACTATGTATGTATATAAAAAAGGTATATAAAAACTCTGAGATAAATTTTTGAAAAAAATAAGATTCCAAATATCTAATATAATGGAATATTTATCTCATAACATTTGATTGTATGCCAAAACCAATAAGCTTAAGTAGCTCTTTTCACATGTTGACATTGTTGTGAATTCAGAAAAAGATATTTTTTGTTATTTACAGATTTAAAACCTTCAAAATGTTTAGCTAAGAAAAAATTATATAATTATAAAACATTCTACAATTCCATGTAGTTTAATCGCCAACAAAATCTTACATTTATTTCGTATTACTCGGCGTTGAATTAAAAGTTATTTTTAAAACATTCCAATCACAAACGGGTGATATTAAAAGTACGGCTTGTAATTTAATCTTTAGTAGCTTAAGATTAAAGATGAAACGACAATATCCCGTTTATTAAAACAATACGCGTGCCAACTGGCGTAGGCGAACCTCTAAAAATTTAAATTCAGTCTCAAATGTTGCATCATTGAACGCACAATTCGAGAAAATTTTACGTTTGCGTGACTAAATTTGGCTCGACGCAACAAACTTAACACGATCTTTCCAAATTCTTACGTCAAAAATAATTTATCGAATCAAGAGTTAATTTATGTAGAGAGATTTAATTAACTTGGAGATCTTTTATTTTATTTTTGTAAATTTTTCAAACAATAATTTCTTTTTTTTTTGTTAGTAATTGCAAAATAAAAGGATTCACACTCAAAAAAACGTTCACCTACCGATACGGTATAAGTCGAAATTGAAGGTGTAGCACGGTACGGCCTTCTAGTCGTGTAAAAATCACTTTCGTAAACCATTTTTTTTTATTTTTATTATATTTTAATTTTTGTTCGTCGGTGTTCCCTTTTGGATCGGCCCCCCTGAAGATCGGTCGAGCTTTCTAGTAGATAGAACGGCGTCTGAAGATGTTGTGAAGTCGTTTGGGCAAAGTTGCTCGGCTACAAGCCCGTTTTAACGCGTCACAACTTCCAAATCTATTTATAATTCGGTGAATACTGCTCAAGCCTCATCTTAACCTCCCTCTTTTTTATTTCTTATTTTTTCTACTACATTTTTTGCAAATTTATCCTTTTTGATTACTAAGCCAAATTTGTTTTTCTTGAATCATCCCACATAGCACAAATTCAACGTTTCCTTTTTAGTCCACAAAATGTTAAACTTAAATAAAAGTTAGATCGTGTGCAATGTTAATGTTATGTTCACCTTCACGCAGTCGATTTTACGTGCCAAAATCTTTCGTAGTGAAATCATAATTTTCTAACCATACAAATTATTAACACAAAATAACTCTGTGTTATTAATGACATGTGATTTTAAACGAAATTGACTACAATTCTTAAAACCCTATTTTATGTACAATTTTATAAACAAATTATTATCGTTGTATTTTCCAAGAACCAAAACAATCCAATTTTAAGTTAGTTTCCACATAGTCTCAAAAATTGAACATTAATTGAGACTAAAATAACATGTTGATAGATTCGCATCCAAATAATTCATCATAAGATTGATATTCGATGAACAATAAACCCTTCTGAGAGATATAAAAACAAATAAGAAAATTGTTGGCAGCAAACAGATCGAACAGCACAACAGCAATCTTCGAAACGAATGCCAATTTCAAATAATGAAAACGTGACGAAGTCAATAAGAAAAGACATCGCCACGTGTCGTCTCCGGATGATCGTGTCGGTAATGGAAGTTGGCAAATTCGAATTTAAAGACGTCACGTAACTAAACCAAAGGAATGAATGAAATTTGGTTCGAGTTTAGCGACAACGGACGTTCGTATTTACGTCACAAACACCTACAGTAATCTTAGTATTTACGTAGAAATGAAATCGTTGACGAAATAGTTGAAAATAACACGTAAAAAGATATGTATCAGAATTTTTGAATGTATTTGAGCGAAAAAGAAGTAATGAAGCTTTAAATAAAAGTAGCATAACTTAAAGCAACTGGACTTAAAAAAGAGATCAAAGATTCAAATTTAACGTGCCATTTAGGTCAGGGACATCATTTCGGGTCTGAATTAAAATTTTATGTGTTCTGCAATAAATAGGTGTTTTAAAAAGAATATTAATTTAATGTAATTAGTAAACGCGGTACCATTAATAACTTGAAAAGCAACAAATTTTTATATTTTTGTATTTATCTCAATATTGGCGCATCTAAGAGTAAAAGTGAGAGGGACCAATAGTATTGGAGCAAAAATTGTAACGAATAAGATTTGCTACAACTCTTGTTCTAACATTTTTTTGTAATTTGCTCCGATACACGAGTGTTTTCCATCAACAACTAGCAAAACAACAAAATTCATCAAATTTTCATATTTTTGTATTTTTCTCGATTTCTATGCGTCTAACAGCGAAAGTGCAACAGAGCAATATTGTTAAGAAGAAAATTTGCTACAACTATTGTTCAAAAAATTTTTTTGTAATTCGCTCCGATACACAAGTGTTACCATTAGCAACTAGTAGTATAACGAAATTCATCAAATTTTCATATTTTTGTATTTTTCTCGATTTCTATGCGTCTGAGAGCAAAAGTGCAATAGAGCAATATTGTTAACAAGCAAATTTGCTACAATTATTGTTCTAAAAATTTTTTTGTAATTTGCTCCGATACTCAAGTGTTAGCATTAGCAACTAGTCAAAACAACGAAATTCATCAAATTTTCATATTTTCGTATTTTTCTCGATTTCTATGCGTCTGAGAGTAAAAGTGCAATAGAGCAATATTGTTAAGAAGAAAATTTGCTACAATTATTGTTCTAAAATTTTTTTTGTAGTTTGTTCCGATACTCAAGTGTTAGCATTACCAACTAGTCAAAACAACGAAATTCATCAAATTTTCATATTTTCGTATTTTTCTCGATTTCTATGCGTCTGACAGCAAAAGTACAACAGAGCAATATTGTTAAGAAGAAAATTTGCTACAACTATTGTTCTAAAAAATTTTTTGTAATGCGCTCCGATACACGAGTGTTGCCATTAGCAGCTGGTAGTACAACGAAATTCATCAAATTTTCATATTTTCGTATTTTTCTCGATATTTACGCATCTGAGACCCAAAGTGAAAGAGTTGAGAGATTTTGATCCAAAAGTTGCTTTAAATGAAAAGCAGCACAGCAGTTTAAAGCATTTGGAATTAAAAAAGAGATCAAAGATTCAAAGTTAACGTACCATTTAGGTCAGGGACGATAGTTCAGTTCTAAATTAAAATTTCACATGTTCTAGAATAAATAAGCGTTTTAAAAAGGATTTCAATTAATGTAATTATTAACTGTAAATAAAATAAAGTATTTGCAATCATTTTTGACACATATTTAAATTAAACTTATGTATGCCCCTGTATTCAGAAAAAATTTTGACGTTTGACGTTTTCTTATGTCACTATTTTCCCCACGTGTTATCATAAACATAACCTCAAATATCAAATAATTTGCTATTTTTAATATTATACTAAATCTAGCTTTTAAATAAATAAGATTATGTTACGTTAACTAAAACCACTATTTTCTTTAATAACTCGACACAAATGAAACAGTAAATTAAGTGAGATTTAAAAAAATCAACATTAAATTCTAACCTAAAAATTAAAATGGATTTATTTGTAATAAATAGGTAACAATAACGAATATTAATAATTATTCATATATAATTATTCAAATTTATCTTAGACATGAAGATAATAAAGAGGACACTATTAACGAAGAAGCTAACCTGAAAAAGTTGTTAAAAAAGATCAAAAAGAAAAAGGAGTTAAAAAATATACAAAAAGATTTAATTAAAGATGAAGAAGAAATTGTTGAAAAACCTAACAATGAAATAACTCCTAATGAAGAAGATTCAAACAATCAACAAGAAAATGATTTAGAAATTGAATCAGAGAATATAGAACCTCCGATAAAGCAAAAAAAAATTGATCCAAAAGATGTTGAAGGTTTTACAATTCTCGGTGGTGAACAATTTGATAAAAAAACTAAAGTGAAAAGAGTTCTTCCAAAATGGTTATCAAACCCAATAGTAATTTCTGTTGATTTACAAAACTTAACCAATAAAGTTTCGCATATTGAGAATTTAGATAAATCATTAAAAAAACAATTAAAACTAAACGGAATTAAATACTTATTTCCTGTTCAAGCTGCTGTTATACCGTGGGTTATTAAATCGATTCAACAATCATCAATAGTTATTCCTAAAGATATTTGCGTATCTGCACCTACGGGAAGTGGAAAAACTTTAGCTTTCGTCTTACCTGTTATTCAAGCTTTATTGAAACGTACAGTTAAAAAAATTCGCGCATTAGTTATTTTACCTACGTTAGATTTGGCCATGCAGGTATTTAAATGTTTTAAAAAGTACACTGTTGGAACAAAATTGGATGTGTTGTGTATTACAGGAAAATCTGTTTTTGAACAAGAACAAAAACAATTAGTACATAATAGTAAGTTGGTTTGAAATGAATAAATTTTGTTTTCTTTATAGAAATGTTTATAGATGTTGGATTTGGTTATATGAGTAAAGTTGATATACTTGTCTGCACTGCTGGTAGATTGGTTGATCATTTAAAAGAAACACCAGGATTTAATTTGACTGAATTGGAGTATCTTGTTATTGATGAAGCTGATAGAGTTTTGGATAATATTCAAAATGATTGGTTGTATCATTTAGAGAAACATATTAATCAAGAAGGTAATAACAATGTTAATAAGTATGTGATAATGTTGTAATCACTGATTTTTATTTTAACAGATAACTCTCTACAATCATCTAAAGTATTAAATGTATTATCATTTAAAACTCGCAAATCTCCTCAAAAACTGCTCTTTTCCGCCACATTATCCCAAGATCCAGAAAAACTACAAAAATTATCACTATTCGAACCAATTCTTTTTACATCAATAGTTGAAAATGATGCAAACGAAGAAGAAACTAAAAAAGTGACTGTTGATAATTTTATAGGAAAATACACAACACCAAAAGAATTAACAGAAAAATACATTATTTCCCCAACCAATTTAAAACCTCTGGTTTTATACGAATTTATAAAATCGAATAATTTAACAAAAACCATCGTTTTCACTCATTCTTTAGAAGCAACGCATCGTTTATCCATACTTTTAAAAGTATTATTTAATGAAACTCTTAAAATTAAAGAAATTTCTTCCAACTTGGATATCAAAAACAGAAAATTTTTAATTGAGGACTTTTCAAAAGGAAATATAGATATTTTGGTTTGTACTGATGCATTAGCTAGAGGGATTGATTTACCCGGAATTCAATGTGTTATATCGTATTCACCACCAAAATATTTAAAAACATACATTCACAGAGCAGGAAGAACAGCAAGAGCTGGCGAATTTGGTATGGCTGTTACAATACTACCAAAACCACAATTAAATCGGTTTTTAAGTTTACTTCAACAAGCCGATAAAAATAATTTGGAAGAGGTAAATAATTTATATAAAACTACTTCGATTTAACAATGATTTAAACTGCTTTTAGATTTTTATTACTGAAGATAATTTGGAAGCTTTGGGAGATAAATACAAAGAAGCTTTGAACGAACTTAAAAAAGCTGTAGGTGAAGAAGAAGAGAAAAGTTTGAATAAAATGAAATCTGCTAGACGAGTTGTGAAACGTAAAAGGAAAATAAACGATGAATAATTAATAAATATATTTTAGCTTTATTTTTAATCTAACCTAAAAAAAATTTTTTTATTCGCGATAGATAGCGCAATCTTTAAACTGATTTAGCGTCAATTAATTAAATTTTTGATTACATATTAAATAGACGAGTTATTTTCAATAATTATTAATGTACATGATTATTTTTTTAAGTTTAATAATTAAGAAATTGTAATAAATTGATAAAAAAAACTTGTTTTGCTTTATCTCCGATAGATGGTGTAAGCTCACCTAACAAAATCTAACCTCAAACTTCTATTTTCCAATAAAACTCCTTTTTTTTATTAAAAATGAGTATAATTTCTGCTTTATCCAGGTAATTATTAAAAATACACATTAATTAACGTAATAATTATTTCAATCTAATTTAGGCTTTCCTTAAAACAACCAAGTCGAATACCTGTTCTGATAAGCCGATATAAAATAGAAAATAAACTCTTCTTGCATACAACTCCAGCTCTTTGGTAACTACATACAGAAATAATTAAAAATAGCACCATTTAATCAATATATTTTTAGTGCTGAACCTTTGAAAAAGAAGAAAAGGCTTGACCCCGCCGTTATTAAAGCAAGGGATGATCGTAAAAAGAAAAGAATTGAGAAACAAATTCGTAAACTTGAAAAAAATGCGAGGCAATTAAAACCGATTGAGGAACTTGAGATTCCTATGGTGATAATTGATCATAAAAAGTTAAAATTTATAATCATGTTTATTCGTAATTATTTAATTTCTGTTTTTTTTTATAGAGAGAGGTATCGTAAATCGCCTGCTTTAACAGCAGAAACTTTGGAAGAAAGAATTTTATTAGAAAAGCAATGGTCGCAGTTTAAAAAACAAGAATATGTGAAAGACTTAAAAATGTTAGACCGTATTGCTTATTCGCAACAAAAAGCTTTGGATGAATTGCGAAAAGAATCGGAAGAATTGTATCAAGAGGCAATACAAGTAAGGTTTTGGTGATATTTTAAAATTTTATTTTATACCCTCCAATTTTAGCCTGATTTACAATTAATTCCCTATGGGTTTATTGGACCAGTGGAAACTCCTCCAATTGAGGGTTATAATGCACCAGATGGTGATTATCAAGATGTATCAAAAAAATGGGAATAGAAACAATTTAATACAATAAATGTTTAGATTTAATAAAATAATATTAAAAAAAAAGTAGTTTTCTGTTAAAACACCATCTACCGGCCATACAATATAAATACAAACGTCAAATGTCATTTCACAGTTTCACCAACAGAATAAAATTAATCAATTTCTTGAATCACTCACTTTTATTATTATTATTGCATTGGTTTTCAACGTAAATTCCAGTCATGTCCTGTAATCACTGTTCAACAAAATTCAATTTCTTTCATAAAGAAGTAAGTAATAACCAATATAAAGTATAAATAAAAAAACGTTATGATCTAATCTTTTTTTTTATCTTTTCTACTTAGATGGGCTGTGCTAGTTGTAATTTATCGTTTTGCAATAAATGTTTAAAGCAAAAATGTAGAATACCAAGTAAAGGACCTGGTGAATACTCGGTTTGTAGAATTTGTCATTCGAAAATTACATCGGGTCAATCAACTACACAGCAAAACATTCAACCACCAGACGCTTTTATTAAGTATATAGTTTTGAATCAATTTATGTCTTAAATTAATCAATTTGTTGTTTAGACGACTTGAAGCCTTAGAAAATAATCACCAAACTCCTGTGAGCATTGTAAAAAATGAACAAGATCAAACCACAAAATCAACTTTATCGCCTATTGATCAACGATTATTGGAAAGATTGGAAAATTTAAAAGATAAAGGTACAGGACCGCCTCCTACAGAAGCTGAATTAAGACAACGTTTGGCTGCATTAAAAGGTGAAAATAGTTATGTCGAAGGACCTAGTAAAGCAGTATGTATTAAAATTTTAAAATTATCACTAATTTATTACAATAATAATATTATTTTAGATTTTAGCAAACGACTTTAGGACAGATGAACAAAAAGTAGATGCATATTTAGAGATGTTTACAGCTGAACGAGACATAGAATTAGCTCAAAACCCTGAGGAAGAATTAGAAGCAAGGTTGGCAACATTACGAGGACAAGGTGTTCGACCGAACGAAAATTCTTATATCAGTAATTTACACGACGATTCTAGTTCGGATTCAGAAGAAGAAGTTGGCAAAATAACTAAAAAGGTTGCTTTTAATTTACTTGTGTTGTAATCTTAAACATTTAATTTTTTAAAGATAATGGCTGAAGTAGCTTTGGACAAAAAATATGAATTAAAACTTCCATGTCCCGAAAACGAGGAAGAATATGAAGAAGAACTACCGTGGTGTGTTCTTTGTAATAAAGATGCTAAATATCGATGTATAGATTGCGGTGGAGATCTTTACTGTCAAAAATGTAATTTGGAATTACACTCTAGCTGGGATGGAACAGCTCACAGGATAATTAAGTACACACCATTCAAATAATTAAGATATTTTTAAGTATATTACTATATAAATTAATAATTGAATTGTATATGTTTAAGAAATCTAATAAAAATCGTATTATAAATTTTATTGGTTAATAAAAGTTAATTTTAAAATTAAAATAGATTAATTTACAATTTGCGACATCTGTTACGGTATGAGTGAACTAAGGATGATAACAATGGTTTGCGGCTGCGATATAAAATGATAATTACTTCCTTACAACTCCAGGTAACCCTAGACAAAGTCATGACGAAGTAGAAGCAAAGAAAATAGCTTCATAGAAATGCAACTCTCTAAACAAAAACTTCATACTAAAAATGGACCACATGTGGCGCCATCTGTTGGGGATACTTTAGAATTATTCAGCTAAGAACCGAACCACTAGAATACAGGTTGGATTGGGTTTATATAATAAAAGCTCCAATCACAGAATAACTGTTTGGAAAGTATGTGGCTCCAAACACTTCTTTTATAATAATATAATAGTTCTCATTTCTTTTATAATATTGCCCATTAGCAGATTGAATAGGAATGGATTGAGACTGTTACCCTGCCTGACTCCTCCTGGTGTGGAAATATCTTCAGTCAATTCGTCTCCAGCTTTCACTTTTGTTGTGTTATCACTATTTAATTTATGTATCATGTTTATGATGTCACCCAATCGTACTCTATCAAAAGCTTTAGTCAAGTCCACAATTATTAGAAGAACTATTACAATTATTTCTATTTATCACAAATCATTTTTAAATAATAATTTATCTTAAAATTTTTATTGCCAACTGTAAAAAATAAAAATAACTTAATTTTTTTAATTTATACCTAAAACAATTAGATTTTATTCTATATATTAATTAAACGATTAATTTATATGTTCACATTTTCTAATAATTAATAAATAAAACTGAAATTAATATTTTTGAACACCATCTATGAATGACATTCGGTACATTTATTGTTTTCATTGTTAGATCTGTCAGTCGAAAGCAGTTGATTGGATTGTTGATTCTTGTAGGGCATAAATGATTGGTTCTTTCGTTATATACCAATCGGAGTGTGGTATTTAAAATCATCACGCATTCATTCATCGCCGGATAATACCGTTCAAGGTATCCGGAAGTCACCCACGAAGAATGTCCGTGTATTTTGTTAGTCCGTAAGTGAAAATTAACCTCTCTTATTGTATGTTGTGTTTTTGTAACCTTTATCTTGAAGCAGTGAAACGGAAGTTGAACAAAAACCCGAAACCAATGTTAACGAGGAACAATGCCAAACACAGAGCGAGGCTCAGGCCGCTTTAACACATTTTTGGCCAAAAGTTATGGATGAGATCAAATCTATTGGAAATGTGAGTATTCATCATTTATTTAGAATATGAACAAATGAGATTGCGCATGCGCAAAAAATCTTAATTTTTGTATTTTTTTGTAATTAGATGGACTTAAAACAACAAGTACTTCCTTTAGCACGCATTAAGAAAATAATGAAGCTCGATGAAGATGTTAAAATGATTTCAGCAGAAGCCCCATTGTTATTTGCAAAAGCTGCTGAAATATTTATTCACGAATTAACATTACGATCATGGATACATACTGAGGATAATAAAAGGAGAACGTTACAAGTAAATTTTTAATGAATAACTTTCCCTTCTAAACCAAGCTCATTATTAATACTAATTACAGAGAAATGATATAGCAATGGCGATTACAAAATTTGATCAATTTGATTTTTTAATTGATATAGTACCTAGGGATGATATAAAACCAAGTAAACCCCGAGAAGAAACAACAAGAGCAGTTAATTCAGATCAAGTACACTATTATTTCCAATTAGCTCAACAACATCATGCTTCATTGCAAAATTCCCCATCACAAACAACAGCACCACCTGCTACAACAGCTCCAACACAAGGAACAATTCAAATTGTACAACCTCAACAGGTTCAAACTGTTCAAGTGAATGCAATAGAACAGGTAATTATGTATATAAACCTAAATAAACATTTATTAAAGGCTCCATTAAAAAATAGAATGCAACAACAGCTACAAATACAAGTACAACTCAAACTCCAGTTATGATACAACAAACAGCTGTCCAACCAGCTTCACCAACATCAAGTACAAATGGAGGTATTCAAATTTTGCAGCAAATTATATCACCAAGTGGGGAAATTCAACAAATTCCAGTTTGTTTTAAATTTACTTAATCACTTATTGAAAGATATAAAAAAAAAATCATTTTAGATACAACTTTCACCTCAACAATTACAAATGATCCGTATGCAACTTCAAAATAATTCAACCCAACCCTTAATTATACAAACAACTCCAATTCAAACAGCGCCTCAACCTCAATTGGTTCAAGTATGATTTTTTATTTTAATGTAATGTTGATATAAACAAAGCGTTTTTTAATATCTAGATTGCTCAACAAGGAACGACAGGTCAACCAGTATTTATCACCCAAGCTAATGGAACAACAGAAACAGAATAAATGGTTGTATTAAGTTAAGGCAAAAGAAAAACGTTCTCTCTGTTATTATTTTACAGCATTTTCCATGTATGTGTAAAACTCTCGTCGTAATTTAAGCAATTATCTTGATTTTTTGATTATGATGGAATGTAGATTTTTTTTACGTGAATAAATAAAGTTAATTAATTTTATAAAACGTATAATAATTTTTAATAAAGCATTCAACAATTATAACCTCAAAATTATGTCAAAATGACAGTTAAGTTTAACAACTGTCAGAATTTAAAGTTACTAACCTACAATGCTTATAAGTTAAGGTTAAGCTTTAAGCTTATAAGGATATTAATGCTTTTTTTGGTTAATTAAAATATAAATAAACGAATACAATAAAATTAATAAAAGTTTGAAATGATATAGAACAAAAATTATTTTCTGTATACGCTCCAACTTCACTATATATTTTAAACCAATCAAAAAGCGTGATTTCTGAAATGTCAGTTTCTATTGACATAAAATTATTTTTTTAACCTAACTTTTTTTAATTAGTTATTTTTGTATAAAAATTTCGAAATGGTTTATAACAAAGTTTGTTTTGTACCAACATGTGGTAACACATCATCAAACGCACCAAAGAAATTATTTGTGACGGTATCTAAAAAACGTCGTTTACGATGGATAAACGCTGTAAATATAACAGAGAAAAAAGCAATAACTCGACTTAAACATTGTTCGATGTTGTATTGTTGTGAAGATCATTTTAATGTAAATTAAATATTCTATTTATTAAAAATAAACGAATGATTATATTTACTTTTTGTTATTAGCTTAGTGAAGATGTAGAAAATTGGAATTATTATTTAAAGGTGGGAAAGCTATTACGATTAAAAAATGATGTTGTTCCTCATTTAAAATTGGACGGAAATGAACAAAATCAAGAATCACAATTTGATGACGCAATGAGGGAAGAAAAGTTAAGATTTGCAAATGATTTGCAGTTTTTTGAAGAAAGAGAAATTGCAAAAGGAGACTCAAATATTGAAAGGAAAATAGAAAATAAGGATAACTCTATCAAAAAAGAAAGAATTGATAAATTAGAGTCCAATTTTTGTTTTGTGAGTTCAGGATTAAGTCTAAAATGTTTGGTGGATTTGGGTTTGGTTGATAAAAATACAAATTGCAAATCAAATAATTTAGATTCACACCCAAACCTTACTAATTATGATCCCTTAACAACAGAAAATGATATAAATAATATTATTAAACCAGAACTTATCATTAAATCAGATGAATAACATTAAGAATAAAAACACTCATTATGGAAAATATGGCGAGGATTTTAGGGTAGTCTTTTTACCTATGTAAAACATTTAACGTCTTTTTTATGTTTTAATTTAATAATTAATACATTTACTTAAAAATAAATTAAAAAAGAGTACTTCACTCATTATTTTTTTTGTCCAGGTTTAATAAAATGATTATCTTCAGGCATCAATATACTAAAAAAGTATTCATAAAAGATTAATTAATCAAATACACTAAAACCTCAATTATATCAAACCCAAATCAAGGTTTTATTGTATTTCAAACTTACACATTAGCAGTTCCGGCCATTCCAGGCATTGAAATTGGGGTGTTTTTAATTTCTTCTGGTACCTTAACAGTTAAGGTCGATCGAGGTCCCGTTTTCCAAACGTTTCCTACTTCATCCACTATGGAAGCCTCTATAGAAAGTACATATTGACCCCCTTTCGGGAACGCAAGAAGAAATTGTGCTGTAAAAAAATCTTTGTGGGGTGTAACAGTTTGTTGTAAAACCGTTGAAATCGTTTCTAAATTAGCTTTTGTATCAGAAACATTGCTTGAGTCTTTATTTTTTGTGTTCGTTTGCAATTGAGTTGAAATACTAACGACGACTCCGTCTACTTTACGAAATAATCCTGGTTTTTGAGCGTGTTGGACAACTCCTTCAACTTTAACGGCTAATTGAGATCCGAATTGGATACTAATAAATTCGCCCATAACGCGAGGTTGAGGCGAAACGCTTAGTTTTATTGTTGTCGATTGAAGGATTTGGAAGAAAAATCTTGGAATTGGAAGTGTTGTGTTTGAGAGAACATTCGCGATTGTTCTCAATATATTTGCATGCTTAAAAAGAATAAATAATTAAATTAATTAAAAAATTAATTATTCAAATTATATTAAATAGTAACCTTATGTGTTATAGTTTGAGGACTATCTTTTTTACAAATCCCACCCGCAATTTCCGTAGCTATTTTACATCCTTGAATCAATTGTTTGCATTCTAACCGAGTATTTTTTGAAACAAAATCTAAAATTTCCGGTTTAGAAAGGCTTGTATTGATGGATATATTTTCAACGCATTGTTCGAAAAGAACACACATTTGTTGTAATCTTAAACAAAATCAATAATAAAGAATTAAAGTTATTTTTTTTTTGTTTCTTTGTATACATTTGTAAATTTTCTAATGTAGATGGATCAGCATCGAATGCCGTTTGATATAACCCCCAATACATTTCACTGCAATTTTGAAATTCTTTAACGCATTTCCGCATTTGATTCGTTAAATAACCGTGTCGCATGAATTCGTCTCGCGTTGTCTGGGCTAAAGTTGAAGCAATCGCTGGGGGTGGAACAACGCAGAGAATGTTGCATGTATGAATTACTTGAATTAAACATTGTAGAAATTCGGAACGGATGCGCATGTATTCGGCTTGAAAATGTAAATGATTTGATGGTGTTGTGGCCGCCTATAAAATTATATTTATGAAAATTAAACGATTTTTATTTTAAATTAATTAAGTGACCTTTAGTGCTGCAATTGCTTTATTATAATGAACAACAGCGAAACTTAATCGATCAACCAACGTTTTTTCTTCATCATCACAATCCTCAGGATTATTTTGTATTAATTCCGATTCAGCAGTACAAATTTCCTTTAAACAAACCAACCAGAAATGTAAATGTTCCGAACTAACCTGTTCGGTTAAATCCTCAAAAATCGACAAGGCTGCTTTATGATGCCCATAACGCATTGCTGCTCTTCCAATACGATAATTCGCCCATAAATTAATGTTATTATTATTCGTAACTTCTTTTATCGCCAATTCAACATCCATCCTCCATTTATAACCGCACATACTTTGAAAAATTAACGTGCACAACATTACTTTTGTTAGGGATTGTTTTGAAGTTGGATTATTAACTTTTGAAAGTGTTGATAAGTGTTTTAAGATGTCTTCAATTAAGATTAAGAGAGCTTCAGGTTGTAAACTACCTATAGCTCCTAAAGATTCACAAATTGTGATTGAAAATGAACCTAAAATTAAATTGAATATTTGTTCGAATAGCTATGCATGTTAAAAATCAAGATACCTTAACCCTTTATTAGTCCGCCTTTAAATAAATAACAAGTCCTACAATAATCTGACGATATTGGGCAACATTACCATGAGGTTTCAACCCTGTTTAGGTAGGGGTAAATAGCACACCATTGGTTTGAGAGCAATGTTATATATACTAGAATTTGTTTAGACCTGTGCAAAATTTTTGTAGGTCGTATATCATGTTAGTGAAAAGTAGCTTATTTGCTATAAAAATCTTGTATTCTGTAAGTGTTAGATTTGTATTGCAGTTGAAATACATTTGGTAAGTAAATTGTGATTTATATTTATGCTGTTTAGAAGATTTTTGCTGACAAAGTTTGTGTAACCATTTGGTTACATTGTCCACATTATAGCGGTTTTGAATTTGGTTAATATGATACCATCTCATCTAGTTCGTTTTATGGAAAAAAGAAATATGAACTTCCGCCACCTCCTCAAATTTCGGATACGTCCGATATAGTTCTGATCTTATAATAATCTTAACAACAATATTCTTAATAATCTTATCTTATTGTTAGATAAAATTCGAAACAGAGAATTGCACCGATCAAATGTAGTTTTGGGTGAGTAAAGCGCCAAGGAAGATATTCCTTATTATATTTGGAAGACATTTTATTCCAGATACAAACGAAGAGATTCTACAGTATTGGAAAAAAGTGGAGCAACTTTTAATTTTTGTAAATTAAATTTTAAATTAATGTTTTTCCTTAGGGTTTACATTACTATGGTAGTGTATATTATATTGAATTTATGTCGTGAAGATTTCACAAAGCTAGCCTTATTTTATAGAAATAAAATAAAATTATAAAACTTGGGTTGGAAGAAAGTGATGTGGGTGTTGGAGTAGGAGTTGTAATAGCTTTGTCGAAATCTTTCCATGCTTCTGAAAATTCAATGCAAATTCAATTTTTTGATAACTATTTTGCTGATCTACCGCTTTTTCTCTATCTCAAATAAAAATGTAATATACATAATCTTGGAACGTTGCGAAGTAATAGAATTGCCGGTTGTCCCATTGAAACAGATCAAGTTTTAAAAAAGCAACGAAAGGGTCATTTCAAGTCATTTGGATTACAAAGTTGATAAAGAAAAAGGATTAATCAATGTAAAATGGTTTGACAATAAAGCTGTCCCGTTAGGTAGTACATGTACTCTGCATGGGATTGAGCTTTCAAGTGCTGTAAAGAGGCTAAAGCAAAGATAGATATAACCTGTCCTTGTAATAGTAAAGGAATACAATAAATACATGGGTGGCATTTGGCACATGGGTTGGTATTTTCAATATTTGCTTATCTTTGGATATATGCGTTGTAAGTGCTTGGTTGTTGTATAGAATGGATTATGCTGCACTGAGTTAAAAATACATGCTGCTGAAACAGTTTAGATTCGATGGCTATAGCATTGGCCATAGCCACTGTGTCAAAGGTACTAGTCGTCTAATGTGTGAGAAGTGTAATTCTAGATTATGTGTTACCGAATCCAAAAAGTGTTTTAAATTATTTCACAACAAATAAACATTATAATGTATTTTTTTATATTTATAAATAAGATGTGAAGTTGTAAGTAGAGCGTTTTAATAGATTTTGTAACCAAATGGTTACAACTTGTATTTCAATTACTAATGAGATTAAAAACAAGACAATAGTGTTAAATAAACAGTAAGTGATTCTAGAGTTCAACCTTAATCACCAAGGCTTCAACAGTTAAGGAAAGTGACTCTAAAAACAAAGCATGCGGAAGGACACAATCGCTCACGATTTATCCTGAGACCTCGAAAGACGATTTGACATGTACTTCTGACGATTTCATTACAAAAATAATATAATAATTAGTGTTAATAAAATCAAAGTAAAATCATAGCATTTTCAACTCGAATTGTAGGTTACTGTAAATTTCACTATTAGTTACATCTATTCGCCGCTAGATGGTGCTACGAAATTACTTAACCTGTAATTTATTTCCTTTTAATTGTATCACTTTTATATACAAACGTTGTCTAAACTATTTTACTTGAATCCTATGCCTCTATGTAACACATATTATTAAAATTGAGTGATTTTTAAACAAATCTCACGATTTTTTATGACATGGCTCAGGACCAAGGTTTATAGAACATAAGGTTACCTCATTCCCTATGCCTCTGTAGTATCGATTATTACCCCGCAAATTGACGTCACTGGTTCGATACAGTCAGAATAAAAGATAGCCTATACGTGCCTATACCACCCTATACTGTGGTACAGTCTATATAAAATATTTAAACCTCGCATCGTGTTGTGTTGTTCATAGAACCAGCTACGTCACTGACCCACCTTGCCTCTCAGAGGAGGAGAATCGGTATTGGGTAACCTTATGTTCTATAGACCTTGGCTCAGGACATTCTATGTGTGTAACCTGGCAACCCTGAGAGGGGCGCAAGTTTCCTAAACTGTCCAAGTTCTGGTGATTAGAGTAACTTTTCCCCTATTTTTTTCATAAAACAGTTGCAAAGATATCGATTTTTAAGTTAAGGGACCTTGATTTGGCAGGGCTAGTAGTTGAGAAGGAAAAAAGTAACTCACTATCAACTGATCCTAATCTAGAACCTAGTAGTTGAAGAAATTTTTCGCAATAATCCAATTTGTATTCACACAAACGAACGGCGCATTTTAAAGTTAACTTTAATTCCAATTGATTTTTGTCTTCAGATTGAGTTAACAGTAAGATTAATGATTCTAAAGCTTGGATGACGTCATTTGTACCAGAAACTTGAGAATTTTCAACAAATCTATAATAATTTTAACATTACCTAAATTAACAAATAATAAAAACAATTTATAACCTACCCGTAACACAAAATTTGTGTTAAAATTTGAATCGCTTGAACCGCCAAACAAATCCTTGAACTTAGCGACATATTCAAACACAATTTCCTTAATTTAGAGTCAGGATCTTGATGTTGAGCACAAATCAAAGGAGATTCCACCAATACTTTTATAACACCTTTAAAAACAAAAATATTTCCTTAAAATTATTCACTTATTTCAATTACTTACGTAAAGAAAGTCTTAATATTCTTGGCGATTCCGTTGTGTAAGCCATATCAATGATTGAATCAACAGCCCCTGGGGGCCAAAGATGAGCCCCTGGTTTAGCTAACTCATACAGTTGTTGCAAAACACTAGATTTGATTTGAAATCGAGAATCTTCGTGTAAATACTCCAATAAAAGTTCAACTTGACTTGGAATATCAACGAGAGTGGTTGCAGCTAATTTAGTGAGTGTTGTTAAAATAACTTGGACAAAATCTTCGGCGGGATAACCTGGTAGAAGATCAGTTGCAAGTTTTCTAACCATCGCTGCTGTATGAGTGTCATGATACATGTATTGTAGGATAGGAATCAATTCTAATTTCATACTAGCTGGGGTTGATTGGCCTTGAATCATATTTGAAATTTTGTTGCACATACTGATTGCAAATGTTCTAAAAAGTAATTTAGCTTAACAAACTATACATTAAATGATTTATAAAAATAAATTACTTTGATTGAGCTGCAAATTGTGTGGCAGCGCAAATAGCAGCTTCAATTTCAACGTTATCATGTGAATCTAAGCTGCTTCTTATGCTATGATGTACTTGTTGCCTCTCGGGAATAATTCCAGCAACAGCACCTAAAGTTCTCAAAGTTAAAGCTCGAGCTATAGGATCGTTACTGTGTATAACACTGAAAATTCGTTTAACGAATTCGTCAACATTCGAAATTTTATCTAAATGCTTCTCACTTTGCTGGCATACTCGCAATACGCACATTCGTAAAAAATTATTTCTAAATTTGAGGTTATGTTATTTATTATATTGTTAATTTTTTTTATGAATACCTTACCCTACACGAAAAACGTCGGCTAATTTTAATAAAGACGCGTTAATTAGAATCGGAAATGGATATTTTTCGAAAAGACGCGGAAATCGAACGATTGCCTCGCATTGTTCCCCGACTTTTCCTGATCTCAATCCTTTATCTAATTCCGTTAATGCGGAATTTGCGTCTTGTTCGGGTTCTCCAAGACTATTATCTATAAAAATATTCACTCTAACACCTAACATAATTGAAAAATTTGATATTTTCTTTTTTAATGTTGTAAGGTTATGTTTTTATGTTTAAGTTTTATTTGACGTTTAAATAGTAAACTTGAAGCTTTGTGTATCCACCAAAAGATGGTGTTAAAATTTTTGAAAAAATATAAAAAGAAAATAATTTTATATAACTTTTTTATTTTTGGCACCAATTCATATTATTAATAAATTTAAATACATGTGTCAATTTAAAAAATAACCCTTAACAATTTAATTAAGTACTTTTCATTATAATCTTTTTTTGTTCAACTTTATGCTTATTCAGGCATTTTTAACAGCTTCATAAACTATATACGCAATTAAAGCATTAACCGCTCAATATATTACATCTTTTCGTTTGTGTTAAGTGTATAATAAGGCAACGTCCAACACTAAAAAGGGTTTTCTATGTGAGGGGTGCAATCATTGGCACAACTTTAATTTCTAATTTTGATTCTTATTTTTGTAAGATTTTTAAAGTTATATTGTAGAGAATCCCTTGACCCTGTTCAGCATTAGAATTAGAAAATATGCTCTCTGTTCAACCTCTTATTGAATAATAAATATCAATAAAATAGTAGGCCTTGAAAGCTTAAGCCTGAATTCGTAGTCTACTAGATTATTTTAATTGCATTAAATATTTACATAACAAAAAATGTACAACTTCCATTTCCTTAACCTTATTTACAAGAATAATTGTTTAAAAAATACTTTCCATATCCATTAAAAATTTATAAACAAAAATAATAATAAATTATGATATATCACATCTCACTTAATACTGTGTATACTATAAAATTTTTGACGCTTTTCGTTTTCATTAATATCCAAAATAATACAAACTTTTGTGTTTAAAACTTAAAAATTAAAATCTCACTCTTCTATCACCGCCATATCTTTTCTTCTTATTTTTTTTTGTTGGTTTACTTTAAGTAAAACCATACACTATTAGAATTACAGGTACACTAAAGATCAGGAACAGGACCGTCTTGGACCCAATTTAGGGTCGTAATCTGAACAACCTGGGTCGGTTATTTGCAACACTTTAGATCGATTTGCTGTCGAAGGATGACAATGTCTATAGTAAATTAACATAAACACTATCGCCAATAGAAATGATGCAACTTGAACTATTACAGCGCCGTAATATAACTCTGGATTATCATTTGAATTTCGTTGAACACACCTTAAATAAAAACATATACAACATTTTAAATGATCAATTAAATTAATTAAATTGAATAAATTACTAACCATACAACCAAAGCTCCAGTATTTTCCATAAAACATACTAAATAATAAGCCAAATAGACATATCTAGTAGGTCCATCCCTTGGTGAAATAAACGCTAACACATATGCTAGTCCTAAGGCTGTAGATAACAATAATTCTTCACATCTGTTGCTACAAGCTGCTGATTGATGTTGTCCAAGAGCTAACCAGGTGGCCATCATGCCCCAATGAAGCGCGCATATCACACCCATCCATATTGGGAATACTGAAGCTAATAAACCCAAGGCCAATACTCTAGACACTATAAGTACATAATAAGAAATGAAAATTAGATGCATTGATAAAAAATTAATAAAAATGAATTTGAAATTCTTACAAGCGCTCATTAGATGCCAGCAAAATGCTATAAAGACGCCGGTCCAACCAATTTTTTCTTTATCATCCCTTGAGTATCTTACGGATCTGTGATATGACGTTAAAGACCATCCTATTGACATTAAGGCTGCTAAAACTGTCCAAGCTTGAAGAACCGTTAAATCTAAAAACATTAACTTATATTAATTGATCAAATTGATATTTCCGTGAATAATATCGATAATTTGAGGTGAGATGCAACTTTTAAAATAATAACATTTAACAACCCATACTGCAATAAATGTTTATAACGAGTCATATGCTCCCGTTTAAGGCCGATTATACAACATTACAATAAATCTATCTGGTAACTATCCGGCCAATAAATTTATCGGGAAGATAAAGATATTCACTGTTTTACAGGGTGGTTCAAATTCGATGTCCAAATAGGCTATCTCGGAAACTGTAAGAGTTAGAAAAAAAGTAGCTTACATGTCTCGATCTCTTTTATTAAATAAATTCCAATGTCGAAAACCTCAAAGCGCTATCGTCCTATGTTTTTCCCCTAGAGGCCAAATTTCAAAATATCGTAAAACCAGCAATTATCTTGGTTATTATTATAAGTGGAGTATTATAACTAACACATTACATGGACACTTTTTTACAGAGAATTTGATGAAGTAGTCAAAAAAATTTTTTCAGTTTTAGATTTTGAGATATTATGACAATATTCATTTTTTTAAATGGAAACAACCACTGATTATTCGCTTTTTAAATTCGTTATTAATTTCTGATTACAAAAATATAGGGTTCAACAGGTCTATTTTTTATAGTTTTAGAATAAATCTAAAAATAAACTTTTTTTATAAAATTTCTATACGCCGCCGAAATCTAGTGTCGTCGAAGAAATGAAATTTACAGTTTCCTGTAAATTACGGGGTATTAATTTTTTGGTATTTAAAAACAAATAATTATGTTTATTACACCAACTGTTAATACGGAAATATTTAATGAATTGCTTTGTTTTGGATTGGAGAAATATGTTTTTTTAATTTTTAGCTATAGTACCGTAATTTACAGGAAACTGTAAACTCTCTTATAGTTTCTGAGATAGCCTATTCGGACATCGAATTTGAAACACCTGTACAATCTGTTTTTGTAGGTAGGATTCATCATCATCAAGCAGCCCTCTGCGTCCATTGTTGGACATAGGCCTCCCCTACTCTGTTCCATTCGATTGTATTCTGTGCTGTGTGAATCCAACTGTTAGTCATTCTTTTCACGTCCTCAAGCAACGGTTTTGTCCACTGCTCATTCTTCATTCGCGCGATATGACTCGCCAAGTTGCACTTAAGCAAAACGTTGCTGATACAGATGCTATGATGAGGTTGTAAATTCAAGGATGAATTGGTTTTCTAATCCTGAATCTGAATAAGCGATGCCTATTAAAGATCTACTAAGGTTGCTTACTGGTCATCACATTCACAAAAAATTCACATAAAAAAACTTTGCTTTCCTGGTTTCACTCATTCTTAAGTTGTGTCCCATCTATCTTATTCTTTGAGCTTTGGCAAAGCTAACAATGTTTTCTCCTTCAACAAGATTGCTTAAGTCTTCATAAAGTATGTTATGTCTCATATTTTGCGCTGAAAATTCGTTGTAACTCACCAAACCCAACTCAATTAAGGTATTCCATTCAATTCAACTCGAACTGGAACTTGAATCCGAACCTTAAATGCATTAGGGAAAGTAATTTAGATGTAAATTAACCTGAGGTTGCCATAAAAAGTTGAGAAATAAGTCTTCAAATGGATTTTTTGTCCATTTAACTATATCCTATATGTTACATCTTTCTCTAATGGAGGTGTTGGTTTGTTTATCTTGTAGTTTAATGTAACATAGATAGTATAGGGTATAATAGTTGTATGACTTGTGCTTGTGTTTCTCTACATAGATTTGGCGGAAGTAGTTAAAACAACTAAATTTAATCTTTAAAAATATTATAACTTCAATTTCAATTCCCACAGATTTCTTCTAATATTCTCCCCCACATTGTTACATATTAAATAGTTCAATAACATTTCCTACGTCGTCAATTCCTGTTAATAACTTACACAAACAACTTTAATATTCCAGTTTATAATGAACAGTGACAACTTCATGGTCACCGAAATGGTAAACAACAAATTAAATGAAAACTTCAACGTGAAACTGTTCCACCGTTTATAACCACACTTGACTTTTGCATATTTAATCACCTGTTTATAACGGTGTAATTACACCATAAGTGACCTACATGTTCACAAAATAAACGGATGTTTTCTAAAAACGTCCCTGTAATTATTCAAACGAGCCAACTAACCACACAACATGATTTCCATATAAAAAACGCTTCAAAAGAATATTAACAATATAATGGTTTAAAAAATAATTAGCGACCTACCTATATCTAAAAGTAGTCTTTTGTCGCGATTGGATACTTCTCCAATCAAAAATGTAAGTTGTATAACCGCTTGAGGCCCGCTAAACAGGAAACAATGGAACAATCGAAGAAGAGCAGCGTTTGTATCTTCGTCGAGCATCCGTTTGTAATAAACCATGTACCATTGATCTAATCCAGTTGTGCGTTTCGCTATGTTACTTCGAATTCCGTAAACCAATGTGTCGATGTATCGTAAAAGAGGTGATACTTGTAATAATAAAAATATTATTCTAATGGTCCATTGCCATAAAGGTACTTTTCCTAAGGACGGATCATCATAATCGACGATGTACCTAAAAATAAAACAAAAAATATTTCAAAATCTTATTTTGGGTTGATTTAAAAACAAACAGTGATAATTGCTAATTGAATGGTAGAGATAATAACGTACCATTCACTTTCAATTTAACATTGTAATACAATGACATCAATTTATTTGTGTGTCGTTGAAAATATAACAAAAATAACTCGTGAAAAATTTTATTCATATGATTCAACAATAAACATAAGTAAGTGTGAGTTTGGTAAAGAATGCTAGGATAAACTAGATTAATAGGATTTGTTTAAATTTTCTTTTCGAGGCTCAGATATAGCCTTGAATAATCTAAACCTTACGTTAGTGGTTACAAAATTAGGTGTAATGGCTAAAAATAGATTTAGAAGTGAAATCGACTTGAAAAAATAAAAAGAAAACTTATTCGATTAAAACTCGTTCAAATCTTTTCATTCGAAATTACCTTTTTAAAATTAGTATCTTTTAGAATCATTGAAAAAACAATTTTTTTTTCTTTCTTAGAAATGAACAACTTTAATCTAATCTTCTTTTTTCAGTCAATCTGTGACTCAAAAAATTTAAAGTTGCTTAAAGATCCTATTCACGGATCTTATCAATATAAGCCAGATAATACATTTTTTGTTATTCGCGACGTTAATTTAAGCTCCTTACAGCATCTGATGAACCAGTTCAAGTTAGTAACATTGGTTCATTAATTTTTCTAGTTGTCAACGTGACAATTTTTGTATATGGATGTTTAAACACGTTCTTAACATCGAATATAAGTCCACAATGATGAGGACATTGAACTCTGAACAATTTCTCTTATTTTGGGAAGTGTACATAAAACATTTTTTTCAGATGAATACATTTTGTGTTTTGACAATTTCTAATTGTCAATTCAAATTTCCATTTTCAAGTGTCATGGTGTTACCAACTGCTAAATACCTATTTCCCTACATTGTCAAAATTTATTTTATTTTTGTTAAAAAAAGAGGATAAAATCGCGAATTATAAAAAAAGCATAAAAACACGTTTCATAAGACCTAAAGCACTCATTCATTAAAAAACTCGTGGTTTCGCCACTCGTTTTTCAACTTAAATTCGTGCATTTTAAAAGTGTTTTACGAAACTTGTTTTTTAATATACTATTCCAAATGTTTTGTTATCCCTTTTTGTGTCATTTTAGACATTTGTTTCGTATTCCACACCTTGTGTTAGACCTTCTGGAAACATAAAAAAAATCTTAAACACTTTTTCCAGACTATTTTAATGCTCTTACTTACAGTCTTAATGATTTGTTCGCCACCCTTAAAATAACTCGTTATGCAGGTCAAGATAATAATATAATAAGGCGAATAATAATAAAGCGAATGCAAGTAGTATAAGAATAATCCTGTTCTTATTTAATGAGAATCCCTCGTTGTCAAAACCATTGATACAAGACAAATGTGACATACGTTTACAAGACACGAACAGGGTTGAGCCAGGAGTCAATTCGAAACTAACTTCGGTGGATTTTCATTGAGATAGAACATGACTCTACAATTGGACCGCGTTGTGCATCACTTGACTAAGCGGCAAATGAATAATGTTGAGAAAAATGGGATTTTCGTTTTCATCTCTCTAAAAATATAAGACTTCTCAGAACTTTTATCACAGAACACTGATGACAGCTATCACAAGCACAGAGGGCATACAGGGTGTTTCTATAAGTCGTGGCATAAATTTAATCACTAAAACTAGAGACAAAATGATGACTAACCAAGTAAGTTTAAGTCTAACCAGTTTCGGCCCTTGGCCATTTTCAGAGACTCTACAAATAGTAATCTATTTATAAGATGAGAGATGTTAATACATCCCTCATCTTATCCATTTTACAAACAAGTTTCTTAATATTACTTTTTGTTTTGTTAAAAAAGATCACAGAAATCAGATTATTAGTTACTAACTTACAAAATTAAAGTTTAAAAAGTTGTAAAATGAAATTAAGGACGAAGTGTTACAAGTTTACAGGTTAAAATTTAAGAACGCTCTTTTTTAACAAAAGAAATATTGAGAAACTTTTAATCAATGTGAAATGACCCAAAAACACGTTAAAAATAAAAAGAAAGTGCGGAAAAGTGACTAACACTAGATTAACTTCAGTTATAAAACTTCTATTATATGATAACTAACTTCAGGTTTAAAATGTCAACCTCAATTTTGACATATTTGTGAAAATGAGTACAAACACGACATGTTTATCTTCAATATTAATGAAGTTATAACCGGTCAACTTCCGGTTAAGAATGTCAACGTCAATTTTGACATATTCTTAATTTTTATAAAATGAGTTAAAATTTGTCACAAAAACGGAAATGTAATAGAAAGAATCAAAAATTAAGGTTGGTATTAATATTTAAAAATTAAATTGCTGTCTTCATTGTTGCTAACTTCGGGTTTAATGTTTTTTATTCTAACTTTTTTGTTTTTTGAGATAAGTACGTCATCTTTGGACTCATTTTAAAGCTTTTTAATGAAGATGACAAATATGTCAAAAGTGACGTTGACGTTTCAAACCGGAAGTGATTGTATTTCAATTTTTATTAGAACTAACACTAAACCCAGAACTAAAAACATTCGGATTTAGTCCCACGTCTCTCCAGACGGCTACACCCGAATGATTCTAGTTCTAGGTCTTGTGTTAGTTCTAGTGATAGTCTAGTTTTAGTGCAATAAAAATCGTATCTAAGTCGGTTCTTAGACGTATAATGCAAATCGGACTTAAAATCGTATAACGTGATTGGCGTTTAGCTTTATCCTTTAAAACAAATAGGTAATTTAGGTAATAATTTTAGGTCTTTCGGTATTCTGCATTTTTTCTAAGATAAATTACACCCTTACCTACCAGACAGCATGAAAATCTCTGAAAACGATGAAATGTCGCTTAATCAAGTGATGTATAATGCGGTCCAATTGATAAACATACAGAGAAGTAACTAACATAGACCAGATCATGTACTAGGCTCATGTATTGACAACACAGGGTAGAATAGGACTGGCTTAAGTGCAATGCGTAGAATATCTAAGATCTGTAGGCAATACGAAACCTCTTACGCCATAAAAGTGTTGTTAGCGCATTAGATTACAGTGGTTAACAGTATCAAAAGTACTACTTAAGTCGCAGCAAGCTATTTTAACCTTCTCATTGTTATCATGTTTTTCAACTATTTCTTGTACCCGGTTAATTATTGCAGTAGTTGTTGATCTATAACCATGCTGGCTGTTATGCAGAATCAGTTTGTTTTCAAGAAAGTTTACCAAAAACTTATTGATCAATTCTTCTAGTATTTAGCCTAAAGTTTTCATATTTTGTTTCGTTTCTGTTGTGTATTGGAAACACTTTTGCAATTTGTAATTGATTTGGAAATAATCCTCCTTCTTCAATCCATTTAATAAATATTAAAACTAAATCCTCAGATATTTCCTCACAATCTATTTCCTGTAGGTACAAACGATATTGACATTTGTTACCACATTTAATCTGGCTGCTAGATTCTTGGCTAATTTACATCAAGCATTCTTCTGCAATTGCGCGGCATTCTTGCTGCTTGCGAACATTTTTAGTAAGCGGGGCATGTCTCGCATTTGCCGCGCAAACATTCTTTGGTATGTCCAAACATGCGCGCGGCAGAATTGCAACACCTGCGCATTACTTTTAAGCCATGATAAAATACTAATACGCAAGTGCAGAACTATTTTTAACATTATAAGAGTAACTTTATTAAAATTGTTTTATTTTCTTACAAATCAAAAACATTATAATAATAAGTTAATTTGACTTACCATCGAAGACTAAAGGCTGTAATAAAAAGTGCAGGTACGACGATAAACGTTAAAGTTAACGCGAAATAAACAACATTCCCGTTCACCGTGTAAAAATACAAAAGAAAACAGGCCAACACTAAATCAAAAACGTATGTTACAATCGATAAGGCTATACAGATCACATAGAAAAGGCCGAATTTTTGCCCGTCTGTAGACGTCGGTGTCGTTGTTGCTGTTGTTGATGATGTCGTTTTGTCGAAATCGTTGTTGCGTTTCAAGTTTTCGATACGAACCGTTGATGGTTCACCGGAAAATCTCACCACCGTACAATCTTCCGTACTCATTTTTTCGCTCATTTTAACATTAACCGATTAACAGCAATTTTAAGTTTACTGAACATCGTTATTGTTATTAGGGTTTCTTTTTTTGCGGGGAACAATTTTATGAGTCACTTTCACTTTGTCAACTTGGTTTAAGTTAAATAAACTCGCAATAAATGTTTGGATTGGGTCACTGATCCAATACGAACTGTGTTATTGTACGCCATTTTTGTATTGTGGTTATGGCATATGTGGAAAGTTAGCGCATGGTCATAACCTCATTTCTTTGAACACAATTAAATATAATTAAAAAGAAATATCTAATCTAATTCAGAAAAAATATTGTTAGTAAAATATTAATAAATGTTGTAATAAACTTCAAAGTTTAATACCAATAAGAATTTGTATTAAATTTAAATATATTTGCTGATAATATAGGCAACCAAATTAACATATTATTAAATACAACTATGAATATATTAACAAATATGTTTTATTAGTAATATTTAATGCTTATATTTAAAATAATAAAATCATGCTGTTCCAAGCATAATCATTTTAATTTGTTCATCGAAAGACCTAAAACAGAAAAAAATATGTAAATACAACACAAATAACAATAAATATGTTAATAAAAGAAGTATTATTACATTTTTAAACATGTACTAATAATTAATAACTTACTTAGATATTATTTGATCTCCGGGAATGTGAAAAGGATTGCAAACATGGTCAGCATAAATAGAATGAATTTTCTTAAACATCTAAAAATAAAGTTTTATTCAAAACTTTTATATTGTACCTAATGACTTTCTTACTGTTCTAATTTCGTTGTCACGTAAAATTGTATTGGATGATTCTACCACAATAACAATTTTAATTTTCGTATTAGTTACATACCCATATCTAAAAAGTAACATTAATAATTCATAAATATGTTAAATACTTAATAAGTTTATTAATTTATTATATACAGTATGCAAAATCCATCAAAAAATTAGAAAATCATGAATTACTCAAGAATGGTAGCGGAAATTTAAAATATTTTTGATGATTTATTTCACTTAGAGGAGTAAATGGAAAAGTGGATGTCTTGGTGTCTTCAAAGTGGGTAGAAAGTCAACTGAACTTTGAAATGAAAAAAGAAAAACACTACTAAAATTTCATATAAAACGAAAATCTTTGCTTGAAATTGCTAGATGCTAGATTGGGTCATACCACGCTAAATTCTAGACTTTGGATCTTGCTGTCAACCCTTTGATTTTTACTGTCAACTACCATTCTTGAGTAATTCGTGATTTTTTAATATTTTGGAGTGTTCGAATACGGATTTTGCATACTGTACATACATTTTATGTGTTTCTAAAGAGTATAACATCCCCAAATACAATTCTCTGACATCGGTTCCACCTTTTGATGCAATATTTAGTTTCTCTTCAATTATATCTAGAGATGAAAGAACTTTGTATTGAAAAAATAGTTCCTCGTAAGGGTTTGAACATGTAAAGTACTTTGGAGAGTTCTAAAACAATTTTTGTTGACAGATAACATAACCTAGATTTTTTCTTTTTTAATTTAAATTAACCACTTACATCTTTTCCTATAATAGCTATACAAACAGCCATTTTCATACAATAATTATTTTAAATTACTCAAAATCTAGTATAAATCCACTTAATTTTAAGTTTTATTTATGAAAACGTCAAACGATTTCAATAAAATTTGAGGTTATATTTACATAACCTAAAAAATTTGTTGAAAGTACTCCGATTAAAATTTGCAAAAAAATGGATCTAACGGCAGTAACTTTCAATAAAAAGGTAGCAACTTTGCGTTCACATCATTGTGATCAAAAAGTAAAAGTGCGATTCAAAAATAATACCAGTAAAGTAGTAGATCTCTTATGGATCGATTTTGAGGGCAAAGAAATCCGATATATTATACTAAGACCAGACCAATTTGTGGATATGAACACTTACGTTAATCATTATTGGATCGCACGAAACGTACATACCGGAGATCCAATGATAATCACAAAACAATTCATATTTAGTTTTAGCGACTTTATGAACAAATACAAACCAAGTTTTCCTTTGAGTCAAATTCCCAGAGATAAATGGTTTGTGTTTGGGATTATATTGCCAATTTATAGTTTAAAATATCAGTGTATGCTAACAATAAGAGATTGTATAAATAGTGAAAGTGAAGTTGAAGAATTAGAAATTCCTTGTATTCTGAAGGAGAATATAAAAAAATTAATTGAACAGAAAGCAATTAAAGGAATCAAGAGAATGGGTTGAATAAAAATGCATTTATATTTGTACAAAGTTTAAATAAAATAAATATATATATTTTTTGTGATAAAAAAGTTTGTTTCTATATTCATTTCTGATTGCTGTAAAATTCTTGATCAAGATTAAAATTAAATCAACTATTTTCTAATATAAATTGAACTTTTTACCACAATTTAATTTAATATTTTAATAATAAAAATTAATTTTTATTTAGTTATATTTTAAATTACATGTTTACCAACATAAAATACAAAACTTGCTGCTCCACGATTTGAGGTTATGTTACTTCACCCATAACCAAAAAATACTTTTTTAAAAATGTTAAAAATACGTAATATTTACACATTATTGAATCAAAAATCATCAATTAACATACACAGTAAGTTATTCTTTTAATTAAATATTAATAACATGTTTAATATCTGATGTAAATTAAATAAAATTTAAGGACAACTCAGTCATGCAACCGATGAAGTAAATCGCCAAAACGAACTTTTCTATCTCGAACAAAAACGGCAAAGAGAAAATGTAGGTAGAATAGAAAAAATTGAGATACAATATGAAGGCGTTCCTGAAAATGCGACGTTAGTTATGAATAAAAATATTTCGACACCATATGATTGTGCAAGACGTAAGTTTGTGAGTTTACTTTTTGTTTGTATTCATTTATTGAGGATTTTAGATATAAACGAAACGATTTCAAAACGTTCCGCCGTCGCTTTATTAAATGGTGATACCTTATGGCATATGCATAAACCATTACCTGATTCTTGCAAATTAGAATTATTACATTTTAAGATCGATCAACCCATTGGCGTTAACAAAGCATTTTGGAGGACTTGTAGTTTCCTTTTAGGTGCTTTAGCTAAACAAACATTTAAAGATAACGTTGAAGTAATTTTGCATAGTTTTCCAAGTCCAAATGGTACAAAAAAGTGAATTAGTTAATTGTTAATATTGATTTATGTAATTTTTAGTTCGATCAGGAAGTTTTATTTACGATCTTCAACTGTCATTAAACGATTGGAAACCAACAAACTCAGAATTAAAAGTTTTATCAATCGAATTGATCAAATTTTGCCAACAAAGTCACGTAATTGAAACTTTAGATGTGAGCCAAGACTTTGCTTTCACCTTATTTAAAGAAAATAAACATAAAACACAACAAATTCCCGACATTGCAGCTCATAACAACGGAAAAATCACGTTATTTAAAGTCGGAAAACACGTTGATATCTCAAAGGGTCCCATGATTGCAAACACTGATCAAATCGGAAGGATAAGTGTTACAAATGTTATTAAATTGGTTTCTGATATCCCTGGAAATCCGTTGTATAGGTTTCAAGGAGTTGCTTTACCATCTAGTATAGTTTTAAATCATTTTGCTTATGGATTAATTGAAGAAAGAGCTAAAAAATTGGTAAATTTTAATTGATAAAGCTTTTTGAGGTTATATTTAATTCTTTTTTAGAATTCAGCGAGAATTCCAACTCAGCATGGATTTAATAGTGATGATAATTCGTTTGTAGCCCAAATGAATGTTTAATTTTAATAAAGTATTAAAAAAACTAATTAAAAGAAATTTTGACATAAAAAAATGAGGTTATGTATTTAAAATTCAAATAAATTTATTCAACATCTTTAAAATATTTGTATAATGTATAAAAAAATATTGTACATTTCATTCGGCAGTTATTCAATAAAATTGCGATGGTTTTTATCCATATGATCAACAACCTAAAAAACTAATAAAAAGAAATTTTGACATAAAAGAATGAGGTTATGTATTTAAAATTCAAATAAATTTATTCAACATCTTTAAAATATGTGTATAATGTATAAAAAAATATTTTACGTTTCATTCGGCAGTTATTCAACAAAATTGTGATGCTTTTTATCCATATGATCAACAACCTTAAAAACTAATAAAAAGAAATTTTGACATAAAAAAATGAGGTTATGTATTTAAAATTCAAATAAATTTATTCAACATCTTTAAAATATGTGTATAATGTATAAAATAATATTTTACATTTCATTCGGCAGTTATTCAACAAAATTGTGATGCTTTTTATCCATATGATCAATAACCTTAAAAACTAATAAAAAGAAATTGACATAAAAAAATGAGGTTATGTATTTAAAATTCAAATAAATTTATTCAACATCTTTAAAATATTTGTATAATGTATAAAAAATGTTTTACATTTCATTCGGCAGTTATTCAATAAAATTGTGATGTTTTTTATCCATATGATTAACAACCTTAAAAATTAATAAAAAGAAATTTTGACATAAAAAAAATGAGGTTATGACATGTATTTAAAATTCAAATAAATTTATTCAACATGTTTAAAATATGTGTATAATGTATAAAAAAATAATTTTACATTTCATTCGCCAGTTATTCAATAAAATTGTGATGCTTTTTATCCACATGATCAACAACCACAACCTTGGTTTGCTTTTATGAAATTAATTAATCCATTTGTAGATGAATCATGGGATGTAACCGGTTTATCATCTCTTAATTCCGGTTCAATTGCTTTAGCAAGTTGTTTTCCCAACTCAACACCCCATTGATCGAAGGAATTGATATCCCAAATAATACCTTGTGTAAAAATCTTATGTTCGTACATAGCAATGATCGCACCAAGCGTAAATGGTGTGATTTTTTTAACCATAATCGAGTTAGTCGGTTTGTTTCCTTCAAAAACTTTATGTGGTAGAAGTTTTTGAACTTCATCTGGTTTCAAACCAGATTTTTCGAGCTCTTTTCGAGCAGTGTCAGGATCTTTACCTTTCATCAATGCCTCTGTTTGAGCTAGAAAATTAGACATCAAATATCTATGATGTACTCCTTTACTAATCGGATTATGAGTTTGAACAGGACAAATAAAATCAGCCGGAATTAAACGTGTCCCTTGATGAATCAATTGATAGAAAGCATGTTGACCGTTCGTTCCAGGTTCACCCCATACAATGGGTCCTGTTGTGTAATTAACAGCACCACCCCCACGAGTTACGTATTTTCCATTACTTTCCATGTCTCCCTGTTGAAAATAAGCGGGAAATCGGTGTAGGTATTGATCATAAGGTAATAAAGCATGAGTTTCAGCCTTGAAGAAATTTGAATACCAAATTCCCAACAAACCTAAAATCATGGGGGCGTTTGATTCAATTGGGGCTGTTCTAAAATGGTGATCCATAAAATGAGCACCTTCTAGTAAATGAAAGAAGTTGTCAGGACCAATTGATAAACAAATGCTAAGACCAATAGCAGACCAAAGCGAATATCTTCCCCCAACCCAATCCCAAAAACCAAACATATTTTTAGGATCAATACCGAATTCCTTAACTTTTGGTTCATTTGTGCTTAAAGCAACAAAATGTTTTGCAATATGCTGAGGGTCTTTTGCTTGTGCTAAAAACCAATTCTTAGCGGAAGTTGCGTTTGTAATGGTTTCTTGGGTGGTAAATGTTTTTGAAGCAATTATAAATAATGCAGTTTCAGGATCTAAAAGTTTTAAAACTTCAGCCATGTGTGTTCCATCAATGTTTGATACAAAATGAGCTTTTATCCCTTGATTATATGGTTTTAGAGCTTCAGTAACCATTAATGGTCCTAAATCAGAACCACCAATACCGATATTTACAACATCAGTGATTGGTTTGCATGTATATCCCTTCCAATTACCGCAAATAACATCATTAGAAAAACTCTTCATATGATCCAAAACAGCAAAAACATCGGGGGTTACATCTTTTCCATCAGATTGAATGCATTCTTTACTCATGTTACGTAAAGCAACGTGTAAAACCGAACGATTTTCCGTAAAATTAATTTTAGCTCCTTCAAACATTTTATCGCGAGCCTCCTCTACTTTCCTAGCTTTAGCCAAATCGAACAGCAATTGCATCGTACAATCAACAACACGATTTTTTGAGTAATCTATTAAAATATCACCGTCCGATGGCGTACATAAGCGCAATCTATAAAAAAATGGAGTCATTTCAAAATCGAAATGTTTCGCGGTTTATTTTCAAAGACATCTAAGGTCACCTTATAAAGGTCAACAAAGAACTGGAGCTTAAATATTTCAACTACTTACGAAAAATTTTCGAAACGTTTCGCGTCTTGCGCGAATAATTCTTTCATTTTCAAACATCCTCCCACCGCTTGGAAATGAGATTCCAAAGCTTTCCATGCTTCCTCGGAAGTTAAACACTTTTTTGGTTCGAGAACCATCGTTGATAATTCTTGCACTGGATGTCGCTGTTGAACTGATAAAAAAGCGGCGCACCGATGTTCCATTTTGCGGGAAATTCGAATGGCGCAACAATTTAAAATTACAAAGTTTGAAGATTTTATTAAATACATAATGATGTTGCAATTAAACTGGAATTTAGTGAAATAGAATTTGGATTACAATCGAAAGGATTTGACGTTTACTTTTTGAAGTTTTGACAAAAATAACAGTTGGGAAAATTATAAATTATTAGGTTGGCATTAACTTTACACTTCATATATTTAAAATCTTTTTTCAACCAGGCCTATCTCATTTTTTCCCTAATCGAGCTTAAATATGACACAAACTTACATGTTTTTTCGAAAATTTGGAACTATATTATTCCTGCAAATTATAAAAAATAGGAAAGATTTCAATTTTGTCTCGTTTGGGTTTTGATTGTATGTTTTAAGTTAATTTGGGTTATAATAAAACTAGGTTAGTCATAAATTAATTATTTTACTTAAAAATATCACTGTGAAGTTTTATTACAATTATTAAATTCCTTAGTTTATAATAATGAGATAAAAATAAATTATTCTTAGCCTATTTTTGCTATATATACATAGTGTATCCAGAGAAATGAGGAAATATATTGAGATAAAATCTGAATTCACCCTGTATATCAGCATGTTCTTTTAGTCAACGTTTAATATAAACAAATTTACTTTCCGCTTCTTCGTTATAAAGATTTTATGAAAATCCCAATCTTACAATCAAATTGTTCATTATTTATGTAACTTGATATGTCTTATTAAATGCGCTTTTTGCGAAAATCTTTTATTACAAAATTCGCATACAAACGCTTTTTCTCCTGTATGGACCAACATATGTTGAAACAACTGTCCTTTTGTTGAAAATGTTTTTCCACATAATTCACAATGGTAATTCTTCTCCCCTGTGTGTATTTTTGTGTGTGTTGATAAATTGCTCGAACTAGCGAATCGTTTTGGACAATAACTACAACCATACGGTCTTTCTGACGTATGAATTGCAATTGTATGTTTCGTTAATTGCTGAGCCGTAGCAAACGCTTTATTACAAGCTGCACAAACATGATTTTTTTCTCCTGTATGCGTTCTCATATGTGTATGAAGATGACCTCCATTAATAAACCTTTTATCACATAAATGGCAAACGTACGGCCGTTCCCCTGTATGAATTCGAATATGATTAATTAATCCTGGTTTGGTTCTTAATACTTTTCCGCATGTATCACATTGATGTTGTTTTTCAGATCCATTTTCCGATTTTTGAGAATTTGTTAATGATATCGATGTTGACATATCTTTTAAATCGATATCGACCGGTTTTAAGTCGTTTAATTCAAGTTTCAAGTCCGATAATTCTGTTTTTGATATATCCTATAAAAAAAAATTAAATTATTTTGGTTATACTTATGCAACCAAACATACCAGACATAGGGGTGCCATCTATTTTATAAAAAAACCAACAAAATTTGACATTTAATGACAAATAAGTTTTCTTTAACCTCAAAATAATTAATGATTTATAATTAATGTAATAATAAAAATATTGAAAATAAATTATTAAAAAATCCTTTATACAATCACTTGGATTGTATCAGATACAATAATACAACCTACCTATACATAGCGTCTTTAAATCGTATTATTATTACCTGTAGTGATGTTCCAGGATCTAATTGAACGTTTTGCAAGATTTGTAATTGTCCACCTTCGCAATTTTCTTCATTGTTTCCAATATTTTCTTCTTCCAAAGCCAATGGATCACGTTCGTTCACATTATTACTTTCCGAAGTGATGTTATTGTCATTACTTGATGAAGAATTTTGTTCATATCCAATTATGTCTCGTTTAATATCAATAAAACCCGTTAAATCAGGTGTGTTAGGCATGTGATGTAAATTTTCGAAACATTGTCGAAGTTTAGCGTCCGATGTTTCACATTGCATTTTGAACTGGAATGCAGTATGAAGACGAGAAATGCATCTTTGGCATATGTAAGGTGGAAGGCCGTCACCTTCGACTATCTAAAATCAATTTTACATTTATATAGACGTGGTTAAGATTCTTTATTTTGAAAAGAAATGTTTTTGTTTGCAAACAATTCGCTCACCTGTATGGAAGCGCAAGCCATAATTAATATAGAAAAATGAGGTGGTTTGATTTGGTCGAATATGGGCATTAATTTTTGGCCCTTTTCCAAACATATCCTGCAAATATTATTAATGTTCATTGTTAAATAATAATTAAAAATTTCACTTGTCGGTTGCATGTTTTTTGTGTTATCGTACGCCATGTTGTTTAATTATACTTTTGATTAATAGATGGATGTTATTAAAACGAAAGAATACGTGGTTATTTTCTATTATTCACGTTTAATTTTAAATGTATAATAAAAATTACCAGTTAATAAATTAATCTTGTTTACCTAAATTTAATTAAAAGTTATTCTTTCATAATTTCTTTTTATTGGCATTGTTGTCAAAGATGATGTTTTTGCGGGAAATTCGAATGGTAATTATTAAAAATCGTTTTTGAGCATTTTCGGTTGTATTAAGTTTCTATTTAACGTATTAGGTTAATAATAAAGATTACAACAATATTTATAACAAAATTAATTTCAAGAAATTAGGTAAGAAAAATTTGTGGCTAACGTTGCTGAGGTAATGTTTGGTTAATTTTTACCTATGTGAAGTTAGCATCTAATTTTTTTGGACCCACTTTAGACCCCAAACTTCAATACCCTGGTACTCCGATATTAGAACAGCCTTCAGCTGGTCGGGTACCGCCGTTTGAATGTTTTCAAATGTACAATGAGTTCCCTTACGATGATTTTTTAATCTTGGGAAGAGGAAAAAGCTACAAGGACTCAAGTTATGCTTTAAGAAGGAGGCTGACGAGCCACAGAAATGATTTTACTGGCCAAAAACTCGTTTATTGAAACTACTGAGTGACAAGGCGCATATCATGATGCAACACCTAGCTGTTATTGATGTTTGGTCTCACACAAATGAGCTTTTTCGAATTTTTTCAAGAACCTCTTCGTACAAGTGTTGATTGACCAGGGCTTTTGATCTTCAACTTGCTTATTCTTGCTTTTTTGGGCCTTGGAGAGGTTGAAATCTGTCACTCCATGCTCTGGTGCTTGATTTTCAGGTCGTACTCAAACACCCAAGACTCATCTTCAGTAATGACACGTTGCAGAAAATGGGGATCATTTTCAACCGATTCCAAAAAGTCAAGACACCTTTCTCTCTTGATGTCCTTTTGGTCTTGCGAAAGATTTTTTTGAACCATTTTTGCGCAGATTTTTCTCATCCCCAATTCATTGGTCAAAATCAGATAAATGGTGGTGTCAACCAAATTCAACTCTTCCCCGATCATTCTACCTGTCAACCGACGATCTGAACGCACAAGATCATGGTTCATCTTAAATCGACTCACTTCGTTCTGAAAATGCCTTAAATCACCGAAAAACCTGAACCCTAGCAAAACACTGTCTCTGTAGGTCTGTTAAAGTTTTGCAAAAGTTTCCCATGCACTGTGCCCAAGTCTAAAGCAAAACCTGATAGCACACTGTTGCTCGAAATTTTTAGAACTCATTTTTAAAACGCACTAGAAAAAAACTGTTTCACGACAAAAATCGCTACGTAATGGGGTCATACACGATTTTTTTTTTATTATATTTTCTGAAAGTTTATATAAAAATATAGTTACCGTTATTTTTTTTTTATATTTTCGAACAAAATCATTGTTAAAAAAATTGTTGGAAATTTATATACCCATTTGCGGTTTTAAAATTTCCCCGTTGATGACGTAGGAGTATCACATTTGCGTCCCCTGCTCCCCGCTCAAATGCGAGAAAGAGATGAACGTCATTTAGATTGTATTGAAAAGAGATAGAGTGTTTGTAGGTTATGTTTATTATGTTTTGTTCATGGATGTAATAGAGACACTCTGTTACATCCATGGTTTTGTTTTGACACTGTCATACCGCAAGCGCTATCTAACGGACAATTTAACTTGTTTTAGGCAGTGCGGTTCCTACGTCACAGAAAAGCCGCGAAATTATTTCGTTTGAATATTTGCTATTTTTCACTTCAAATTACGCAAAATATAAAATTGATCAAAATATTTCTTTTACTTTGTGTTCATGCATATACTTGCATATATCGTTTGACGTAAAAATTTTCTCTAAATTTAATAAGTGTGTATGACCCCATTCAGCTCACAAAGAAGAAGCAGCAGCTCCAGGATTTACAAGATATAAAGAGCGTGTATTAGTAAAAATATTTTGACTTATAGCCATGCTACTGGGCGTCATAAACTAAAACTAATGTTCATAGGAAAGAAGCTAAACCAAGAGCATTCAAAAATTTATTATGTTTATTACAAGACAAGAAGTGCATGGATGAACTCATGTTTATTTAATGATTGGTTTTATGAGGAATTCTGTATTTTATATTCTAATTTTTCCAAGTATATTGTGTAAAATCCTATCTAATTGGGGACTACTTTCGCATAGGTTTCACTTTTAATGTTTAGATGGCGGTAAGAAATTTGGCAAGTTGAGAGCCATCACTGATTGTTGGTAACTTTTATTTTTTACTTTTTGGTAATACTGTCAATATGACATTAGTGTCCTTGATTCTTTTGTTGATACCACACCACACAGCAACACACAACCAAAATTTTACCGTTTTCTTTTAATTAAAACCGTGTATAATCGCCGAATTAGATACCATCAAAAAGTGCCTGAAAGAAAAAGGTATATGTAAACATTTATTGATTAATTTTCCCCGTACATTTTGTACATCGTTAAAGTCGGAGGATTTCCATATAAACAGTAATGTACGTGTCGTAGCAAGTAAATCTTTTTGATTATAATTTACGAAAGTTTTTTTTAGAATACCATTGTCAATTAACAATTATAAAAGATTTATGCCTGTTTTAAATTCGTTTTTTGTGTTTATTAGACAAGACAAGATGTAACAAGGAAAAATTTTTATTCATATAGCTCCTTATTCATTTTTAGATGGCTGCTGTTAGCGAATTATGGGTCTCTTGGTTTACATGTTGTGTTACTCAACCACAAAAAAGAAGACATCGAATTGACAGGTGACTTAATACGAAAAGAATTGATAATGTTAATAAGTATTACATTACGCTTGATTTCGTTAAAATTTCAAATTGAATTAGTCATAACAAAAACCAAGATAATGTTATCAGTAAAAAAATACATTTTTAACCACCCTTTTTCATTTAATCATTGATAGAAATATTAATCATAATAAACGCCATAAAATTGATTAAAAAATTTTTTTTTGTATTATTAGATCAATGATAGGAGAACCAACAAATTTTCAACATACAGCTCATATAGGAAGTAGGGATGTTGAAATGCCTAGTGATCAATTATCAGCACTTCAAATGCAAATGAAAAGTAAAGGAGGATATGAAACTACATATAAAGTAAGTTTTCGGGCTGTTCAAACTTAAAGTTTTTTATTTTCTGATTAAAAATGATACAAAAGATCTTAAAGATACAATTATGTGATAGGCTGCAAACCAGTTGATACAAAATTTGTATTTACCAGTTTACAGCCTTTCACCTGCCTCAGAATTGTACCTTAAAAATAGGGATTTTATTGTTTTATAGGAACCCGATTGGTGTAACTAGCCAAGAAACGAAACATTTTTAAGGGTTTTTATGTAACATAATAAGTTTTTTTTTTAATTTTATTTTCTTGTATATAGCTACTTTTAAAATAGCAATAATCAAAGATCAAGAAGATCGATAAATCGATTTTTATAAATAAGCATTATAAGAATGAGTGATTTCTTTTTATATTTTATGGTTAATGCGACTATTTTTTTAATTTTATGATTCTTATAATTGATTATTTAAAAAAATCGGTGTTTTTCATTGGAAAGTTTATTTTTTTTTGTATATAGACCACATAATAATTATGGAAACCCTTTTAACTTACATTAAAAAAAAATCGTTTCCAACTTATCTAATCTCAAAGATTATGTTTAAATCTTATTTTTATTTCATTATTTTTCATTATCGTGCCATCAGTATTCATTTCAGGAGTTTATTAAGTCTTCCATTAACCGAAAAAAAAATTGTTAAAAACTGCTAAGTAATGTGTTGTGTTTATTAAAAAAATCTGGTTGTGTTTTAAGCATTATTAATCATTATTATTGTAAATGATTCTTATTAGCACTGTTTGTTGTTGTTTCTTTCGTGCCAAATATTACAATTTGCTCATTTTTTTTTATAAAAGGAACTTCATGTAATCTTTATTTATCCTTTTTTATTGAGTTAAAGATAATTTTGTACTTTTATAGACTGAGAAAGTGACTGTTTTTTTTTTATATTCTCTCAATGCCTTATGACTAATAAATAAATAAGAAAAAGGGGTAGTTCAAAAAGAATAAATAATCTAACTTTTGCCTTATAAACTTTTAAAGGTTAGGATCAAAAGAAAAGATATTTTTGCACCTAAATCTATTTATTAAGTATGGCACATTTCGTAAATTTCGCCTTTGTGTACTTATTAATAATACTTTTGTTTTTAACAAAGCAAAATTATTAACTTTACAGAATGAAATGATTTATTTTCATTGTTTTCCTTGTAAAACAACTGTTTTAAATCAATGCTTGTAAATTTGTATGTACATTATAAATATATAGTTAAAATTTTTTAATTTTCAACTTTTAAAAAGTACCGACACATCCTTCTCCTAACAACATATACTAATTACATCACGTATATAATAGCTAGAATAAAAAGGGACCTTATAGAGGCCTTCAAAACATTGGGAGGGGCAGCAGGGAGACATGGGCTACAGGTAAATACGTCCTAAATAAACTATATAAAGGTTACTAATAACCCCACCTGAAAACCTGATTAGTGAACCATACACTAATAATTTTTTCCCATTTAATTTTTTTGTAAAGTTCCCTACTGTACAGAGTGGTTTAAATTCGATGTTCGAATAGACCAACTCGGAAATTATAAGAGTTAGAAAAAAAGTAGCTTACATGTCATGATCTCGTTTTTCGAGAAAAAAAATAAACCAACAAGTGCAATTATCTTGGTTATTATTATAACTACGACATTATATGGACACTTTTTTACAGAGAATTTCTTGACGTAGCCAAAAAACATTTGTCGGTTTTAGATTTTGAGATATCATGACAATTTTTGTTTTTTCAAATGGAAACAACCACTGATTATTCGCTTATTAAATTCGTTATTTTTTTTCTGATTAGAAAAATATAGGGTTTGACAGGTCTATTTCTTATTGTTTTAGAATAAAGCTAAAAATAAACTTTTTTTTAGTGTCATCAAAGAAATTAAATTTACAGTTTTCTGTGAATTATAACTAAAAATTAAAAGAACATACGATACATTGAAACACTGATATTTGAAACAAATACATTTGTTGAACTATTTAATTTATATTTGTTTTACACAAAAGTTGGAACATTATTTCACATTTTTTATTAATATTTAATATTATTAAATGACTTAATAAATTATTGATAGATGGCGCTCATATATATATATTTTTTTAATTCAAATAAACATAACAACATTTGTTTGTATTCAAAAATTTTCTGAAGTGTCAAATTAAAAATCCTATTTTTTAAGATGGATTACGAAAAGTTTAACATGTTAGAATGTTATATATTAGAAAATAAAGTAAATTTTATATAAATTTATAGTACAATAATGTTTAGTTATAATACAGTAATTTACAGGAAACTGTAAATTTAATTTCTTTGACGACACTAAAAGAAAAAGTTTATTTTTAGCTTTATTCTAAAACAATAAGAAATAGATCTATCAAACCCTATACTTTTCTAATCAGAAAAAAAATAACGAATTTAATAAGCGAATAATCAGTGGTTGTTTCCATTTAAAAAAACGATAATTGTCATGATATCTCAAAATTTAAAACCGAAAATTTTTTTTTGACTACGTCATCAAATTCTCAGTAAAAAAGTGTCCATATAATGTCTTAGTTATAATACTCCACCTATAATAATAACCAAGATAATTGCACTTGTTAGTTTTACGATATTTTCAATTTTAGCCTCTAGGGAAAAAAAAGACGATAGCGCTTTGAGGTTTTTGGAATAAGCTACTTTTTTTCTAACTCTTATAGTTTCCGAGTTAGCCTATTCGGACATCGAATTTAAACCATCCTGAACATGAAAGAGCAAAAACCGCTTTCGAACAGGTCGCAACATTCTATTTTTGTGTAGCTAACTACTGTTATACAATATTTTTATTCGTATTTTGTAAAATAGACATTAAATAACACAAGGATGTGATGGATCAAAGAATGATATATAAAATATACAACAATGCATAGAGAGAGCAAAAAATTTAGTATATTGGGCTGGTATAACAAACACTATGAAAATCTTGTTAAAAACTGTTATTTATGTAGTAAATATGAAAATTCGAATCAAAAATTACCACTCAAGTCTCATAAAATAATAAAAAACTTTTAAACATTTATTTTGAAATAAAGTTTTATAATTGTTAAGAACATTATTTAGCATTTATTTAACATTTTCCTAGAATTTTTTCTGTTGAAAACAACAACATTTTATTTTATAATCACCTTCCAAGGATGCAAGATTGGACTAAAATAGTTATTTATTTTTTAATAAATAATTAGAATTCGAGAAATGTTTCTTAGATACTATCTTTAGAACATGTTCTATAAACATCATAAGTAATAATATCACAAAATACACTGTGTTAATTAATTATCGTAACCCACATGACCTGTGTAATATTGGCTGCATATCTTAATATATAGTGGTAGCTTAGATAATTTTAAATTAGTAACCAGATTGACAGCTGCTCGTACATTATTGTTGTGATTGTCGTACGCTTTGTGAGGTTTCGCATTTTCTTTGTTCTTTAACCATTTTTTGCTACCTTTATATTTTTCAGTTCTTTTTAGAACCATCGTTGTTTTTAGCGGTAAGTCAATAAACAAATCAAAATAACCACTATTTTCAACATTAATTTCAGTCTACAATGGGTACACTAAAAATTATTTTAAATAAAAGGACAGAAAGTTAGGCCATTTTTTATATGTAAAATATTTTTTTAAATATTAAAATATGTCTAAATATATTTTAAACGGCTTTTGAAATTAATGAAGTCGCCCTGATATTCGTTGTGTAATATTGGTTGCATACTTTACCGGGTATGATAATTAATCAACAGGCTGTATGTTAATATGATTAAAAAAAGGTCTGTTCAAAAAAGCACAATACACTAGTCTTAAAATTGCTTATGATAAATATAGCCTCAAAAATTATTACATTACTTACCTTTTACAAACATTTTCTTCATTATTTAATAAAATTAGAATCATTTTTATCACCCTATATTTATATTTAATTTTTTTTACAAATAAAAAATAATAAACTTAGTAATTAAAAGTGTTTAACACTTAATTTTTATTAACACATTCACTATTATCCAGAAATGAGCTCTCAATGGCTGTCTAATATGTTCTTATTATTCATTGAGAGCTCATTTCATAATTTTTCAATTTTTACATTAAATTTGTTTAAAATTATTGAAAAACTTGATTTATTTCCATTTATTCTTTTCATAATCCCATTCGGATGCGATACCGGTAACTGGATTCATTTTAAGGTCTAACATTCTCTTCAATTGAGCACGTTTATGTTCTTCATCAAACGAAATCGGAAGTGGGTTATAAACTAAAAAAAAATAAAGGGATTAGCTTTTAACTATAATTTAAGTATAGTTAAATAAATTACCGAACACTTTTAGTGCAATAAACATCCACAATCCTAAACTGGCGAAGAATAAAGCAAAACCAAAAATGGATTTCCATTCACCTGATGGAGCTTTAAATTCGGAAAAGGTTTGTCTAAAACTTGCTCTGTATAAAGCCTTTTTCTCTTCAATGGAGAGTTTGTGCCAATCTCCTTTTTCCTTTTCTTTTAAAGCCTAAAAATTAATAATGTTACTTAAAAATAATTATACATTTTTTTATTTAACTTACAAGAATATCTTTGGTTGGTTCTTTCCATCTAATAGCTGGTAATGGAAATGAGGGGCTATCTACATAATTAGGTTGTCCATTATGTCCAAAACCAACAACTTCACGGTTTCCAATTAATGCACGAATTTCACTGGCAGCGCTGTGATCGCTAGCAGCACAATAACCCAATGGAATAGGTTTCTTTAATGATCGTAATCCCAAAGTAAGGATTCTCGATGCCATTTTCTAAAAATCAAAAAAAAAATTATTATTGATTAGATTATTTGGAATTTGTTATGTAACAGTTTCAAATCCACCTTTTCTTGTATTCTTTATAATATTAATTTCTCAGTTATATTATTAGTTTCAGAATCACTTGGAATATTAGGTTTTGATTAGATAATCATAAGGTGTACTTAAAGGTGTGTTATGTGCGATTTTGTAACATTAGAAATAGATAATTTTAATTAATTTTGGTTTAAATTAATGGTACATATCAATTTTATATCGGAAAGGTGGATAAATTTTAAATGATAATAATGATAAGACAGAAAATGTAGAGAAAATTATGATGATACTTACCGACTCTTTACACAAAATGGAGAAGAGCACCAAATGGTTGAGTTTGCGCCGTAAAGCTGTCGTAAAATCTGCGTATTTAGATATGAGCGGGATGTTTAAAAAAGAGGATATCACAAAAATGACCATGAATGATTCTCTTTAAATTTAATGATTCTTTTCTTGTTTAGCATGGAAAGTTAAAATGATTCTTTTAGTAATATATTTGAATACGTTCTATTTTTGTAGTTCTTTAAGGTGCAGTTTATGCAACCAAATGCACGCAGCAGACATTTTTTTAATACAGGAAACTGCTCGAATACGCGGCTTTAGAATCCTTTAGAATTTGAATAGAAGACTAAAACGAAATACACATTCTAGTCAACACAGGCTTTGTTATGGCAAAAGCAAGAAAATTATATAATTACTTTTTAAATATGTATCACATTTAAAATAACAATGTTGGTGGCCATAGCAACAAAACAAAAAACAATACAAACAAGCAAATATCGTCAAAAAATGCGCCATGATTAATAAAGAAACTAGTATTTGAAACATTTTTCTTTAAAACTACAAAAGGCGAAGTTATTGGCTATATTCCAGACATTTAACACATCCTGTATATGCACTTGGTCTATTGTTGCATGTTTATTTCGAAACCCAAATTGGTGTGGTGGTATTAAGGCCTTTTGTTCTATGACAAGTTTTAGTCTTGTTAATAGTAATTTTTCAAGTAGTTTTGATAGTAAGGGTAATGAGATTGGCCTATATGATGTAACATTTGTGGGGGATTTACCAGGTTTTGGTTTCATTACTATTTCAACAACTTTCCATATACTTGGGAAATATTTCTGACAATTAAATCCTAAAATCGGTTACTGCATCAATGTTTTTAGATTTGTTTTTAAAATTGTTTTATGCCGGAAGTGAAATGCTATTTAGACAGGAAGTATTAATGCCTGAGCATCAAAACATTAATGTAGTGTTTCTTCTCATTAAAAACTTATCGCAAGTGGTAGTTATTTCTAAATGCGACAATTCTATTGTTATCGTCAAGCAGCTGAAGATGTAGAAGCTGCTCGTTGTGTGCCACAGGAAGGGTTTGCAGATATGATAAGAATCGATATAGAGGAACTGATTGATACACACTAAGAGAAATAATATGATGTATAAATCAAAGACGGTAGTTCTAGTTTTAATTGTTATTCAGCGTTGGATTGTTGTATGTTTTTATTAAACGAAAAGTGGAACTAACACTACACCTAGAACTAGAAATATTCGGATTTTGTTAACATTTAATCAAAAATAAAACAATTCTTTTTGTTATATACAATTTATTTTCAAATAGTTTTTGTGAATTTCATTCCACGACATGTTTCTTTATTTGTACATTTATTAAAATTTCGCTTCGATTTCGGAAACAAAACGGTGAAAATAAAATGATAAAAATGAAATGTATTAGATTATGATTCCCATATCTTTTAATATTTTACGGTGCTTTTGTGTTGTGGGGAAATGATATAAAAATACCCTTAATAGTGTTAGCGATTTTCTTCCTTAATTTGGCACGTTTTAAATTTTAAACATAAAAATGAAAACGTTATAAATAATTTTATTTTTTAATAGTATAGACAACCAAGTTTACAAAACTAACAATCAAGTTGTCTACACCCTAAAACGTTTCAGCCAACATCCGGTAGATGTCAGTGTGGGTATTGCACTTTTCTTCTCGACAAAAAATTTGTTACATTATTTTAACGTTTTTATTTACTTGATTTTTTTTTAGTTGTTTGATTTCGTATTATTTATTTAAATTAAATTTAAATATATATATGTACACGATAGGTTTATTTTCTTTTTTCAGTTTTTAACCTTTCTTGGATTCACTGGGATCGGTGAGTTCTATTTTATTTTCTTTTCTTATATCAGCGTCATTTCTGTTATTATTAATCATAGAAAATCCATATCGAGGGCGTTATAAAGTGCTCCGATTTCGCTGTGACTCGTAATCCTCCAAAATGGGAAATTTTGGGATTTTGCTGCTGCCTCTTCATCTTGACCATCACCAATTACTACGTAAGTACATTTTCGACCAAATCTAGCCACGATTCTTTCAAAACAACTTTCTTTACCTAAAAAAAGTATTTAAAATCAAATATTACTATGATAAAGGATGTTTTTACCAATTTTAGTTGCTGAATAAATATTTTCAATAGGAAAAACACCTCCTAAACCAAATAATAAAACTTTAGCAAGCGCTGGGACTAATTGAGTTGTTGTAACCAAAACATTTACGCAATTACTTCTTGAATTAATCAGTGTTAAACATTTATTCGCTAATGTTAACCAATTATCTGTTATTGATTCGATTTCTGCTCTTAATTGAAGCCATTGTTCTCGTTTTGATGGCCCCAATAAACCACCAACACTATAAAAGATTAAATTAATAAGGCTAATTCAAAGTTATTAAAAAATTAGTTACCTATTTCTATAATTATTGTAAGTATCTTTAATTTTTCGATATCGAAACGCTAATTTCCTCATCCAATCAACACCTCCACGAACACCTGTTGCTAAACATAAATTTCCGGTTGTTGCTGTAGAAGTTTGAAATCCATCATTAGCAAAATTATAATTCGTCAAATCTTGACCATTATCGTCCGATGAAACGTCATCAATATGAACTTGATCACAGTCCTCAATGTCATTGAAGAAAAAATGCGTATCAGCCATATTAAACACCATTTCTTCCATTCTAAATCCAAGTTGTACAACATTTTGATGATCCTTTTGAAATTTTGTAGCGTAACTACCAGTTAATAAACTATGAAAGATGATAATTGTTTCGTCTAAATCCCATATAAATACACGGTCTGTTGTAGATTCGGCGGTTGTAGGTGACACAGTGTTTGTTCTTCGTCCTCGTCCCCTCGGTGCTCTAGGTTCCGTGTTAATACTACCCGCAGAATCTCGTGATCGTCGTGAATTATCTACTTTTAGCGGGGAATGAGGTCCATCAACCAATGTTAATCCATTTGATGGACTTTCTAAAATGTAAAAATCAAGATTTAAGTAATAATACTTTTTTTGACAGATGTTTATAAAGGTAAACATAACCTTCTATTTCATCTTCACTGTCACTTGTATCGCTATACGGACATAACATTCTAAAAATTTCTTATTTAATTTTTTATTTATTTATTTAAAATAAACCAATTTTAAGTTAATAATTTAATAAATTCAATTTTTATTTATTTCTATAGGTTATGTTTTGATTTTTTGACAGCTGACATACTTGTCATTTGATCTAATACACGTTTCATCTAATCAGAATCAAAATAAATTAAACGATTACAAAAACATGTATTATAATTAAAAACTGATTTACCTGGCAGTGAACTTGTAGCTAATTGATAACTTGACGTTCCAATGCTTCCCGTTGAACTAGGCGAGCTCACGTAAGGAGAATACCCTTGAGGCGTGTAATAACTTGTTGGATACTGACTCGTTTGTGTATCAGTTGTATAAGCTCCATAACTTCCGTAATCCACACCCTAAGCGATATTAAACGTAAGATGTAATTAAAAAAACATAAATATTTTCATTAAATATTATTTGTTACACAATTTGATATTTTTTTAATTCAAATTAAATTCAGTAGATGGCGGTTTATTCATTAACATAAACATAACCAAAAAAATTTGAACTGTCAATTATCTCAATCAATTTTATTCGAAAGTTTAATCCTTGGCCAATACGAAAGTACTTAAAAGCCAAAATACTTCAAAGGTAAAATAACACAAAAATTACTTTTTTAACTCGTATTATTTACCTGTGTTGAAAAACCTTGTGCAAATGACGATGTCCCAGCGGCACTATAACTTGTATAAGCTGAATATTGACCACTTTGTGCGTGTCCACTCGCTTGAAATGGTGACGCGGGTGATGAATAAGGTGAGGATAAGTAACCGGAACTAGTTGCTTTACAAGCGGGGTTAATTGGAGCCCTGCTTGGCCCTAAGGGAGTATACGGATACGAAGGTGTATTATAAAACGTCGATGAATTCATGTAGGATGCCGCCGCTGCCGTATTAGTTGATCCGTAAGCTTGTTGCATTGTGTTGTAATAGTGTTGTGCTGAATACGGTTGCGAGTAATCTTTATCGTAAACGCTTCCTAAATCGACGGGGGATGTGTAAAACGTTGATGTTTCTTGTGATAGGGCTGTGATTTCAGTTTCGGCAAGTCCCGGGCTTCGAATTTCGCTTTTTACACCTACAAATTTGAATTTTTAATCACAAATAAGATTTTTATTTCAATGAAATGTGGTATCTTACCGGATGTATCTGAGAGAAGTGACCAAGTCGTTGGTAAATGTGTAGAAGTAACGCAAGACGTTGCCGTGGGTGTTGATAAACTATCAACGATTCCTTGTGCCGTCGTAACGGATGACACAGGAGGTGAACCGCAAGTAGACGAGGAATGTCCACTTTGAGGACTACAAGCTGTATCTCCACCCGAAAGTCTACTGAAACAATATTACATGAAAATTATAAAATTAATCATTAAAAAAAACGAAATCAAAAAAGATTCATCAACTTTCCAACAGCCTGATATATAATTAGAATTGGCAATGAAAATTCTTCAAATACTTTAAAAATGTAAAATGTATGGAAAATAGAAAAAAATGTAATACTTTTTAAGTTATAATATTAAATACTAAAAGTATGGTGAGTGTCTCCGGATAGGTTTGTGAGCCTTAATAACACAGAAAACAACAAGTGTCAACCGAAAGTTAATGGCGTTGGAACGACGAAACGACCAAAGACAAAAAGCCGGAGGAGCAGCGCCGCGGCGGATCGCAAAGAAGAAGAAACGGACCATTTGGTCTGCACATGTTGGGGCCTCTAACATGTTCGGACGGACCTCCGCGCCTCGTTTAGGTCTATTTTCCTTAACGCCTTTAGGTTTTTTATTATTATTTCGTGGCCCCAACTTTAAGGAAGTTCGTTTAGTTAAACAAACACGAGCTTAATTATTATTATCATTAGAAATCGAGGTTGATGGATATATTAACGGTTTTAAACTCTTTCTTAAGGTTATTTCTGTGTTAAATAGTTTCGTTTTTTTTTTGTAAATCGTTTTGTTATGCGAGAGTCCGTTTTCAGTTTTCAATTCCTTCTATTTAGTTCTCCTTCAAAGTTCCTTTCAACTCCTTTCATTTGTGGCAATTGTTGTGAGTGGGTTCGAGCACGTCCAGTACACAGACGTCGGCGGTTCACTTCTGAGGAAACGAAATGTTTATAAGCGAACTGAACTTTATTGCGTTCACCACAACCATAGTACAAACTATACGTTCCCTCTTCTCCGGTTGGGTTTTAGCTGTTGTTTGGTTCTCTCTCGTTTGAGGGGCGTCAGGTCGCAATAGATCACGCCCGACGCCCGCCGGACGGAGCTTATAAATTTAAAACGAACGGCGCGCGGGGTCTCCGAGAGAGAGTGAAAAAAGGGCGCGTCAAGTCGCCGCCGTAGAAGATTAAGATCGATCGAACGTGGAGATTTAGCGCTAAGGCGAAATGGCCGTTCAACTTTTTGACAACGACCATAATTCTCGTTCTCTTCTCTCTGGGCCGTTGGGCGAGAAGTGAACGCATACGACCCAAACGACAACATAACGAGGACTACGACGATCCAAAAGAGTCAAGCTTTGGAAAACGTGGGCGATTTATCAAATACTTTCCACTATTAATTCTATTATTACCTTTATTGATTATGTGAAATTAGAAAGAAAGATTAAATTAACATACTTATCCAAAAAATATGGAACAAGAACTTTGTATTCGCCCAAATTTCATCATGAAGGCCAGTTTTCGTAAAGAATAAGGCAGAAGAAATTGAAATGTAACAGCAACAACTGGTACCCAAGTATACCTTAATAATAGGCCTGTTGCATGTTCAAGAGTTCTGTAATTGCGATATATACAATATGCAATATGTATGCGCCGAAGTATAATGTATGAATATAACTTGTGATGGAAAAACGTTCCCATGTTTCAAGGGTTCAACGACGAGGGATTAACTGCGATTGTGGGTGTAAATGCAGGTAATACTTGTAAGTTAATAAAGCCTTTCTTAATTAAACGTTCTGAAAATCCAAAAGATTTAAAAAGTTGAAAAGTTGGTTTAGCAGTGATTTAAAAATCAAGTTCCAAAGCTTGGATGACAGTATCTTTTTTTTTTTAAATTGGTCATTTTAATCCTAGGGTTAAACAGTATTTTCAAACAATCAATTTATGTTGTGCTTTTTGCACTCTAATCGATTTTAACCCACCTGTGAAATTCTGAATTTATCACCAAATACAACTCACGTACTTCAAATGAATGACCAAGAGTCATTAAAACATTTATAGCGTATTATTGGTCATCTGCACACTTACTGATGATATGAGATACATAGATAGATTACATGTCTGTTAAACAGACATGAACCGTTTTCATTGAGAGCGCTTAAATCAGTTGGATATGGAAGAGGTTTAGTTTTCAGTAGATGAGGTTGTCATTCTGTCGATCGTCTTCGCGATAAACCATTTTTAGTTCTTTAAACACAGCTAGGTAAAAGAATAAAGATAATTGTTTGGTTACATCAGCTTGTAAAAACGCAATTTAGTAGATGATGTCACAAAAACACCATCTAACGACGAGTACATTCTTTAATTAAGACTATAACACAGAATAGAATCACAGAATGGTATCATTACATTGTTATTTTGAAATTTCTAATTTCTTTTATACATCTTCTTATCGCCGGCCATAACCGGTACTTCGGCGAGTATTTCCTCTTCTTTCAATCATCTTCCCAGTCTCTCCTTCCCATTGGGCTTTTGGGCTACCTCGCTTTCTATTTCCTTCTGACCCTATGTTGAAGATTTTCTTAGGTATTCTATCTTCTTTCATTCGAACCATATGACCATACCAGCTTAGTTGTTTTCCCTCTATTTCCTATATTTCCTCTTCTAGTTCCGTACCCTACCTCTTCTGGTTTTCCCCAATATCTTGCGTAGGTACTTGTATATATGTATGTATGTAAGGAAACGGGAGTGCATGCGTTGGACCCCTTGTTTTACTCCCAACATTACCTCTTTTCACATCAACCAGCCTAGGGATTTACCGGATCACTCAGAGGTGAGTTCCTGATATCATCTGTGGTCAGCCATGCCTCCCCGGCTACTACGGTACTCATTCTGATGTCTGCTAGAGAGGGGCAATCACACAAGATGTGTCTAGCGGTCTCGTCGTCCTGTTCACAGGCTCGACAGAGAGGAGAGTTTGCAAGCTTCAAATTGTGAAGGTACTTCTTTACCTTAGTGTCCCGTGAGGAGACCTATGGCTAACCGAAGGGCGTTTTTCCAAGCCCTACGAAAAACTGAGCTATAATTTTCAAAGGATATTTTAACAAATCCTTAGCAAGATAGCAGCCCAGGGTTTTGTCCCATGCGTTTAGGAATTTTTTGTGGGTAATGTGCTTGATCATGTTGATATGAGTAGCTAAAGAAGGGGTAATTATCGGCTCGGGTGCACAGGGAACTCTGCTGACAGCACGCGTTGCTAATCTATCCGCATGTTTGTTACCCGTAGAGCCGGAGTGCCCCTTGATCCATTGGATAGTGACACGATTGGATTTCGTGGCTTCTTCCAGTGCTGACAGTGATGGCAGTCCATTATTAGCGCAATGTTAACTTAACGCTAAAACAGATGGCCTACTGTCTGTATAAATAGTGTAACACTTATCGCGTTCGTTGAAGTCAACAATATAGTCAGCAGCAAGTTTGATAGTGGTCAGTTCCGTTTGTATGACGGAGGTACTTTTACCTCGAGGTTCCGAGAGGCGTATTCGAAGATGAGAAAGGAGCCCCGCTCCCGCCCCGTTCCGTCTTTTTGGGCCATCAGTGTAGATTTTTAAGGTCTTATTCGCATCTACTACTGTGGGACTGATGTAGGTGAGGTAATTTCTTGAGCAAACGTATTTTGCTGACAAGCAGTCGGTCTTGGACTCGAGTGGAGGTGAGTCCACTCTAGTAGGTACTTGATCTCTGCTGCTGTTATTTTCGATTTGTGCTTGTCCAACATCGTTCAAGTTTCTGATCAATAATTAAGTGTGGGTATATAGATGGTTTTATATAATTGTATTTTTGCTTTCCGGCAAGATTCAGTTCCTTCTTGTCTACGAGGGTGTTGTTTATTTGGTAGTAAACTGCACTTGCTTTTGCTGTTCTGTTGTGTATTTCCTGATCTATCTTTCCATCCTTACTTATTATGGTTCGTACTTTCTACTACCTCCAGTCGTTGTCCCTCTATTCTTACGTCAATATCTCCAGTTTCTTTGTGATGTGAAGGATCTTACGTTTGTTCTGTAGTCTTGTAGGCTGTAATCTTGTAGGCAGTTATTCCATATTTGGTTGTTTCTCTGTCTTTTGACTTGCTTTATTATTCTGTTCATTGTATGCTACAAAGAGTAGTGGGCTCAAACTGTCACCCTGTTTTACTTCCTTTTGCATTCTGAACTCTTGTGACGTTTTTCCAATCAATCTAACATTTCCCATTACAGTATGGTATACGCTTTTGATTGCTCTTCTTAGTTTTGGATTTGTCCCCAGTTCGCTTAAAGCTTCCCATATATGTTGTCTCACTACCTGGTCGACATTTTTAATTTAATACTATTAATTTTATCCTAATGACATTTGACATATTTCATTGTTTTAAATTGAAATTTTTGTTATAAACATTAAATAAATTGTTGTTTAAATAAAATTAAGATTCGAACAATTTTGTTAACGACAAAGCGAAAGGAATGAAAGGAAATGTAAAGAAAGAGAAGAAAAGGTAAAATAAGAAGTTAAAGAAGAAGAAGGAGAGTTCGCAGTCGGTCCGATCGGACGGCAATAAAAAATAAATTAAACGCCATAAAATCTCCGAGTGTGAATATTGCATATCTCGCGTGCCTGTGCGTGCCGTGTCCGTGTGCGTCTCTTGCCGTTTTCCTCCTTTTGTTCGACACACATACATTAGTTAACTTAATGGATGACCGCCGGACGGAATAAATTGCCCGACGGCGAGATTCAAATTTGATAAAAGTTCGAAAACTGCTGTAGATGAACCCCGGATAAAGAATACCGTGCCGATGACGGTTTTACTTTTTAACACAAACATACCAACCAACCAATCAAAAGAAAAAATAACTAGAAAAATATCAACGTCATAAAAAAAATCATCAACCTCGACTTATTTTTTAATAAATTTTTAACCCAAACAATAATCAATTTTCCTTTTTGTAAATCGCGACGCCGAAGACGAAATATTTATTAACATTTGTCGAGTTGGCACAATAATCGTGATATCAAGAAAACAGTTTGGTTATTCTTTTATAGCTTATTGATCTTTATCGTTTCTTTCTTAAACACAACACATCAGAGAATAAAAGCAAACCTTTTTTTTTGTACATTTTCTTGCTGGTTGTTGGAACGTCTGGTT